GACCTAGATTTTCTGGTCCGCGTCCCGTAATCAACAGTTTGTGAATTATATTTTGCGGCAAAAAAAAAAAAAAACAGTCTAATAATATAATAATATCAACAACGATTTTTACATTATTAATATTGTTATTATTATTATTATTATTTTATTTATTTTTTTATCTCCACAAAGTTATAAATAACAATGTTGTAATCGTGAGTGTCCGTTTACGATAATGGTGGTACGTTTTTTTCGTACAAAGTACACTATTAATATTTTAATAAAAAAAAAAAAAAATTGTTTTTTCGTAACGTTCGGTAGGTTAGTATACCTATGATACGTTATTATTTACGCGCTCATAAAATATCTAAAAGAGCCGGCCACTCTGTTGTATAATATTGATGGACGGTATACTGGATACGAACGGTGATGAAATGTACGCACTGAGATAAGTATTCGACGATGAATCGTCGCAATCAAAAAACAATTCTGAGTGGAGATCGGTAGACTGATAAGATTGTTTAGTATTGGATCGTGTTTTTTTTTCCCCCGCCGGTTATTATAACCAATGCGATTCAGAAATCGACGGGAAATAAAACAGATATAGTGTGTTAAAATACGTCATTTGCTGTCAGTTTTGAACAATTTTAAAGAAAACCTGTTAGGAATTCCGAAAAGAAAATATGTTCAAATCAAATATTATGGTACCCACCACCGGGCGATAATCCGTGTCCGCGTTTCTCGTGAAATGAATTACCGTTTTCTCCCGCCATCCACTTTTTTCGAAGAACAAAAAGATATCTGTTAAATCCTTATCGTTTTCTCGGCTGTTCAATTTCCATTACCAAAATAAGAAATAGTCGCACGTTTAGGGATAATGTTTTTATAGTTGTATAGACATCGTAAAATGTCCTATTCTGACCAAGGACATTTTTATATTGAACCCGAAATTAGATCAGTATTCAGCAGGTAATAAGTTTATTTTATTTTTTTTTTTTTTTTTTTTTTTTTTTGTGCTTCATAGGAAAACGTGTTGAAGAACAAAAACAGACACAGAATAAAATGCGCTAGGAAAAAGTTGAACAGTGCATATTTTGGAGATTTTATCATATAGCGGCGTATAGCGGATTTTTTTGAAATTATTAACCGCCAATTTCGTATGAATTCAGGAAATAATTATTTATTATTTACTTTCCCGGACATTTGGTTTATTATTGTGCGAGCGAATGGGTTTCGCGCGTTTTACGATAGTATCCCACGGTAGATAACCTAACCGTGCACGGAAACCAAAACGTTATCGCTATCACTACCGCATTACGCCGCCGTACGCGACCAATCAATTATCACTTATAAATAACAAAACGAAATATATATTTTAACAAACTGATATTTTAGATCCTGCGTCTAGCGGAGAAATGTATTGGTTTTACAAAGATGTTTTTTTTTTTTTTTTTTTTTTTTTTTTTTCGTTATAGTGTAACAAACCAGAAATCTCGCCCCGATACGTATGCGTGGCACCATTTCTGAAAGGAAATATTGTCGAGGGAATGCGGCATCGTGTTAAACCGCCAATAACCCAAAATCGCGAAAAAATATTTCTATGCAAGTTATTTAGCAAAATACATGTTTTTAAAAATGTGCCGATTATCGGACGAACATCTCATGACTGAATTCTTCAGACTAGCTACTGAGATATACTGTATACAAACCACCGGGGCAAATCAAGAGATGTGATACCACGAACAGTAGCGCCGAAAATTTAAGGAAAATTTCGTTTTAACTTACATTGTATTCGTTGTTTTTTTTTTCTTTTTGAGATGCGTCATTTGTTACAACGATTTTAAACGTCTGTAACTCTAATAACCAAACCAAGCCAGGTAAATTTATTTTGACTTCAACCAATAAACTTTGTTATCAAAAACTACATTAAAATAAAAGGAAAAAACAAAAATGTGAATTTCGGATCAATTCTAAAAATGCTATGGTTTATGAAGTTTATGTACAAATACTCTAAAAATCAGTACGATAGGTAAGTTTTGATTATACTAACCAACGAATTAAACATTAAAAAATAAACATTTTTTGGAAAATATTAAATTCTAACTGAAAAACACTTGTAAAGAAAAAATTCAACTATATAAAGTTTTCCTCCATAACTTCCAAACGAAATTCATCCGGCCTAGTTATTGACATTCTTAATGATGTACCCTACACCCGAAAACACACATTTTGAAAAAAATAAAACAAAATCCAAAAAGTCACTAGGATGCTAAACTAGAATTATGCTCGAAAATGTTTATAAATTTCCGGTATATTTTATGTGCAACAGTATCAATGAAATAATCAAAATAATTATAATTTATAACCGGCAAAAGTGTGTGGATGTCCAAATAACTTGTTAGCGAAACAGTACCACGCCAACGACCACACCACGTTGAATACATCAGTTCTCGTCCGATCACTGAAGTCAAGCAACGTCGGGCGTAGTTAGTACTTGAATGGGTGACCGCTTGGGGGAACACTACGTGCCGTTGGCAACTCATTTTTTTTTTTCTTTCTAAATGCAAAATATTGTTTACGAGATTTTAATTAAACATTTTTTTTTATTTCCCATTGTTTTCTCTAGTAATAATTATGAACACAATAAATTTAAATTCACCTTTCAAGAATTCCTATTTGCTTAAGCAATTTTATCCACATAGTAGGTATCTACGAAATAAAAATCTAATAAACACTCAGTTATGGTTAAAATGCAGTGAAAATTTATTCACTGTTAGGTTTTTGTCAGATGTCGTTTGTCAGTAAGCGTCGTCTTTGGTTTTTCAAGACACTGTAGGGATTATGCATGTTTAAGATTTTCCATTGGGCCTCTGTTGAGGAGCTTAGGAATTATTTTGTATTATTAAACAGATTTCAGTATTGGAATCGATAGAATCAATTTTAGAAATTTTCCCTTTGCTTCCTTATCCTTATCCTGTATGTCAGACTTCACGTTTCTTCCTATACGGAAAGCGTCTTATAATTTTTATGGTATAATTATATATTTATAGTCGGTCAGTGAGTAAAAAAAAATGCACCTCTCTCCGCCACAATTCAACCACTGATTATAGTATTTATATGTTATCAATATGAGCGCACACCATAGTTCAGAATCCATATAATATCTATCACTTTATTTGCCTAGATACGCTTATAGGTGTTTTACGTCATAAAAATGTCAACAATATAACAATCAACAGCAGGAAGTATGATCTAAACCATCGGTGCACACACACGGGGGGGAGGGGGGTAGCCAATGGGTACTTAAATCTAAAATCAGCACCCCCAGATTTTAAACAAAATAAAATAATTATAATACTCAAATAGTACTCGGATGTGAGACAAGTAATTGAATAGTATTTTATTTTTAAGGAGGTACCTGCCGCCCTTGTTGGTTATTTATTAGGCAATGAAAGATTCTTTGTTGAAAATCGGATCTCATTATTTCAATTTGGTTTGTTTAACGTGCATGTAATATCTAATTTTATTTCGAAATGCCGAATAGGTTGGTGGGGGGGGGGTGTGGGACAACCCCTACCCCGTGATGCCCTATTGTAAATAATTTTAGCACTCCCAAATTGTAGACTGAATGTGCGCCAATGATTTAATTACGGTTTTGTACGAATTTAAGTAGATAAATTAACGAAAAAAAAAATAGCACGAAAAAACTGCATAAATAATGTTTGTCAGGTGTGGGGGGGTTCGAACCCACGCTCCCAATTGGGAACCAGAGCTTAAATCTGGCGCGGTAGACCGCTCGGCCAATCTGACATTCGTATGAGACGGAAATTTTTATAATTATTTAGAATAAAATGTTGACCAATTTTTAATTTGTAATCAATTATATTATAGGACAATTGAGTATAGGAAATTCTACCTATTATAGATGTTAGATTCTTTAATCACACATACGGTATAATAGATTAGGGTGAAGTCTATGATAGTATTCTTAATCAAATAGGTAAGTAATAATTATAGACTTGTCGAAAATTCTTCGATTAGAATCATAATGAATAAAGACCATAGGTATCAAACCGGAAAACTGTTTAGAGTTCAAAAAAGTTACTATGTACATAAAAAAAAAAAAAAAATACAAACTATTATATCCTCAGTCTTAATACTACATAGGTACTAAATAAATATTTCCAAACCTGACGAAAAAAAACGGCCTGTCGAAAAGGTTTTCAATATTATTGGATTAAGTATTTACAACTCTATGCCCAGCTACTTAATAAATATGTAATTACCACTATTTAAAAAACAAATTTCACACATGCTAATACATAAGATTTATCTAATTACATATTTTATTTAATTCAGTTTCTTCCTCTTTTTTATGTGTCTAAATAATGTACACTATATTTATTTCTATTAGTTTCCGCTCTTAAACTATAAACGTTTATGTATGAAATATTAATATGCTAAAATATAGTTAACTCTAAACCTTCACACGAGCTATCTCAGCGAAGCTTAGTAATTTTTAAAGCAAAAAAAAAATTAAAAATCTCTATGGAACACCCTATAAATATATTGTCAATCAAATATATTACCTATGTACTTCCATTGTATTATTGATCCCAAGGCCAGGTTCACATTGGTAAGCAACGCGATTGGGATTTGACACGTATTTTAAAATCACTTATCATTTAATATTAAATATGTTTAACTCAAATAGCATCAGTCGGGTATCGCTTTGCGCTTGCTAATGTAAATTTGGCCTAAAATGTGTTGTTTCTTTTTTTACATATTATGGTTGATTTATTTAACTATCAATGATTATTGTTTCCTGTATACTGAAAAAATAATAGTTTATTTTTTAATTTTTTTGTTTTTTTTTTTTCTGACTTTAATGTAAATACATGAGTATTTACAATACTATTATAATTTATAATATAATAATTATGTAATAAATAATGAATAAGTCAACCTTATAGTTTATTATAGAAAGTAAATGATTGTTACATTGAATACATGTTTGGGTGGGGAAATTTGTTGACTATATTTAATTAGGTATTATCTATTTAACTAAAACAATTTAAAAATATAACAAATGGTAATATAATTTATTTAGTTAATATACAAGCATTTTAAATTTTATGTCAATTATATTTGTTCTCTAGAAATATTTGAGATCAAAATATAAAACATTTAATCACTTATTTTCCTAAATTGAAATAACATTATATTAATTATCACAAATTTCTAAAAAATACATTTAGTTGATATTTGTTTTAAGTTTTATGAATAAATAAAAAACAATGGATTCAATGAATACCAATTATAATTGGTATAAATTATATGTTAGAAATTAAAAATAAATCAATAAAATAATATAATAAACCGTTATGCTTTGCTCATGATCTTAAAAAAAATATTTAGATAATAATATAACAAATTATAGTTAGTGTTCAGAGAATAAACACAGAAAAACATAATAATACACTATTTACATAATACAAAAATTAACATATTGGAAATCGGTTATGTTTATGAATACAAAAGCTAACAAGCTTTTGTATAACTGATGATCATTTGCCAACACGCACAAACGCATCGTCAATAAGCTCTTCGTCTGTAATGGAAGGAGATGCGGAATGTGGTGAAGGTACTAATAAAGGAGAAGGTACTGGAGATTTAAGGATATGTACTGAAACAGAAGGTGTTGTAGCATATGTTGTAACAGGAACAACAGGTTTCTGTTGATACATAGAATTATTTGGCATTTCTTCTTTTTTCTGTGAATAATCTTTACACTCGGACATTTCAACTGATGCCTCTGCTTTTGGATTATGAAAAGATATTAAAGGCAAATCAATTTTTAGGCTACTTAGTGCTGATTCTTTTGGTTTAAGTCTTTCTTCGACAGTAGTAACTGTAATACCAGGTAATGAATTCAATCGCTCCGTAGTACTTTTCTTCTGACAAATATAATCATTCTGACTGTACTTTTTATCTGGGTCACTCTTTTTGGCTAAATCCATTGGCTTTGATGTATCAGTCTTTGTTTCAGCACATCTCTTTTCATCCACATTTACTCTAGCAGACAGTTTCGGAATTTGAAATTTACTTGTATCTAATTTATGTTTTATAATGCTTTCAACGGGGTTTACTAGTTTTAGAGGTTCTTCATCTTTTGATGTTGGACTAGATTTTCTCATCTCATTCCTAGCAAAAAGAGATTTCTCATTGCGCATTTTGCCCGATCCAGATTTTACTTTGGTAACAGTTAAATTTGATTTAGTCTTTGGTACACTAAATGATTGTTTTGATTGAGAAGAACTTGGACCTGGTTTCGGAACTGAATATGCAGTTTTTTTACTGTTTAAACCACTTGAATTTCCAGATTTTTGACCTGGTTTAGGTGAACTAGCCAATGAACTTTTTTGTTTCGATTCCTTTGTTCTTGTTTTATTAATTGTTATCTTCATACCATCAGAACTATGTTTCACCTGATAAGACTCAGGATTTTTCATATTTATATTTGTCGTCAATGCTACTCCTTTATCAAACACTTTTGGAGTCGATTCTTTGTTTTTAATTGATTCCGTATCGACAGAGTAATGTTGAGCAGATTTGTCCTTGGAATGCAAACGGTCTATCACAGCACTTAATTTGCGGCATTTCATTTGAGCTTTATTTGATTCTGGTGGAACAGAAGGTGTACTAAGTTCTTCAATATCACTCTTTTTAGAACTTGTTTTGGAGCTTTTTGGGCTTTGACTTAAGGAAGAATTACTAGAAGCATAACCACGTTTCTCCTTATCTTTAGATAATTCTTTACTTTTTTGTTTAGACTCACTTTTAGGACTGTGCACAGACATCTTTAATGCAGACAAACTTGGCTTGCCAGAGTTTGACTTGGGTGAAGTAACTGCATACTTATTAGAATTAGGTACTGGTACACTACTTATACATAAAGTAGGTGATGTGCTTTGTTTTAATTTTTGAACAGTCCCTAACTTCATCATCATAGTACTTGAAGGTAACTGATTTGAAGCATAATCACTAGGTGATGATGATCGACTGGAATCTGACATTTTAAGAGACCCAGAGTGTTTTTTAATTTTTTCAGGCACATTGGTTTCATTATCCAGTTTTCTTTTTCTTTTCTTTTCTACTTTTCCATCAACATCCTTTTTGCTTTTTTTAGATTTCTCTTCAGCTATAGTCTTTGCAGAAATAGGAGTTATAGTAATTGAGCTGGGTACAATCGGTATGGGTATAACTTCAATATTAGGCCTTCTGTCAACAGTCACTTGTGGCAATAACTGTGGAGAAGGAATAGAGCTTAAGTCAACAGCCGTAATGCTCACAGATGGAGACTGATGAAGTTTATCTGATGAAATTTCTTTTTTTTCTTCATCCTTCATTGAAACTAGTGCCACATCTTTGGCGGTCATTTTAATGAACTCTTTTACATCATTAAGGTCATGAAGATCTGGACCATCATCATCCATTTCAAATAGTGATTGGTTAGATTGTTCAACATCTTCATTAATAGCATCAAATTCTCCAGAAATTGTGGAACTACTTTTTTCAACCGAATCATCACTGGACGACTCAATAGCTACTTGACCTGTATCTGGAGGTGGTTTGTCATCTTCACCTTTTCCATTATCATCGGCTAGTATGCTTAAAAGTTCTTCGGTTTTAGTAGGTGAATTTTTTGGATCAGGAGGATCTTCTTGAAGGCTGGCATCCCTAAAAGACGACTGCTCTTTTGATTCTTCTTGATCAACATCCATTGGAAATTGATTAAAATCTATATCAGGCAAAAATGAGGGATCAGAAATATATTGATCTAAATCCCTTTGAATCATAGAAGCCGGAAAACAATCAAGAGAACTAGCTCCATCTAATGGTTCAAGTTTAACATCTAGATCAGATGAAAAATCTGGACCAGCTGTAGGGTCAGAAAAGTGTTGATTTAAATCAGAGTTATCTCCTAAATTGGTCGGTCCTCCAGTTCCAGACAAATTGTTTTTAATGTTAGTTTCAAGGCTTTGTTGATTTTCTCGTTCCCACGTTTGAATAAGACTTCTCATTGTAATCGGAATTGAGAAACATCTGAAATAATATTTCAAAACATAAATATCGGTCTAAAATTGTAACTCTATAATATGCACTGACCTTTGCAGTACTTTACTAGCAAATTCAGGGGAAGTTAAAACTGATTCTCCATTTGTTTCTGATGATGAAGTATATACCTGACACTGCAATCTAGATATATCGGAAAGATCAAATTCAGCTGTTGCCAAACTTTCTTCAATTGGATGTTCGAACGACACAACTAAATGTTGCCAAGACATTTCTTCATACGCAGCAATTTCAAATACAATGGTGTTAATGATTTCTGTAAACCAATACACTTTCAATAAATGTGTTAATAATTTTTAATTATTGCTCCAGCTTACCTTGTTGACATTCAGGACGCACACATGAACGAATCAAACAATTAAACAATGCTTGTTGTCGAAGATAGGCAATAACTCTAGTAACTTGAGATGGATGTGTAAATTTTATGTTTTGTATAAATACACCCTTTAGGTTGGAATCTGTTAAAAAATAGCAATGTTGCTGATCTGGTAATGTCTAAAAATAAAAATAAAATATTATAACGGTAAGATAAATAACTCAACATTATTTATGCAATAAAATTGTATATAACTTACAACACTGAGAGGTTGAGAACTCGGTTCAATAATCATCCGGAGTAAAGATCTAGGTGATGACATTTCTAAATCCATTTCAATCACAGATTTTATATTTTCGGCTAATTGGAGACAAATTGGCATTGGTTCATTTAATCTCAAAACAAATACTGCGGGAAGAGTAATACTGTTCTGAACAGTAAATGGCACAAATATTGGTGAACTGAAAAAAAATGTTTAATTAAATGATATATAAATTATAAAAACATAATCAAAGTTACTTTATTCCATTTGCACTACGGGTAGCACTCAATAATGAAGTAGATTGAACATTTGTTGTAGTAGCTGCTTCAATACACACTGTGGCAAAACAACCAACATCAAGACTTTCCTTGTCTAAATTCATCATAGTATTATTTTCTACATCCAACAAATCATATGGGGAAACAAAAAAAATTAATTTCATTGGGTGACCTAAAGAAAAAAAAAATTTATAATTAATGTTAAAAATTGAATTTCTTTGTTTTGATAATTTCTGATATGAATTAATTTTGTGTACCTCCTCTTCTAGGTTTAACTACCCCCAATGGTGTTTTATGTACCATTGATATTAAATCTTTGTGATAAGTATAATGAACTTGGGCAAACATTTCTAAATCTGTTTCCAGAGTTTGAAGAGCATTAAAAGCACGACATTTGACAATTTTATCGGCGTTCAGTTGATAAATAGATGCTAAGCCCTCAAGTTGAGATGTAAAATCAGCAAAATCACATTTGGTGAGACTTTTTATTAAATCAGCACAGCTCTAAAACAAAATTTATTAACAATATTTAAGTAAAACATACAAATATTCACATATAGAATAATATAATTTATCTAATTGGCAAAAATAATTAAGAAATTATACAGAACTACTTTCAATAGAATAAAAATTGAAATAAATATTTGTATACCTCATTATAAAGTATTTAATAGTGTTCCATAAAAAGTTTTAATTTAATTATAAAACCTATCAATGCTAAAATTACAATATTTTATATTACTGTTAAAATCTATTGGCTATTGCCAATCAAAACTTGGTTTTACTAATAAAAATAAAATTAAATAAGTCATAGCTGAAAACATTTGTTTTTTAACCTTTACAAAAAAACTCGTTAACAATAGAACTTTGTCACTAGAGAAAAATGTCTTTCTCCCTCCCCTCTTTTGTATGATAGAAAAAATAAATAACCGAATACTATAACAAATAATTATATAGTACAACTTACTATACTATGGTTCCAAAAGTGTACAATTTTAACACAAGAATGATGAAAATTGAAAGTTAGAACTCTTAAATACATATCCTTAATACTGACAGTGTGCATATCGTTGGCTACCAAGCAAAAACATGTTAATTTGTTTTTTATTTTTTTGTTTGTAAACAACTATTCCTACTAAAAATCTTGAATTTTCTTGTAGCATTTTTAGTTGGGTTAGTGCACTGAGTATGTCATTTTTTGATTTTCCCTGCTACAGTTTTTGTAACATCTGTTAAAAATGACTTGAGTTTTTGCTAAGTAAACAATGACAGAAAAAATGTTATTCCTCTGGTTTAAATTAGATGGTTTGTAGGGGTGTTGAAAGCTAAAAAAAAATACACTTCTTTCTCGACAATTTAGTGAAATTCAACGATTATATCTACAATCCACTTTTAATACAACTATGATTCATGAGTTTGAGCTCATGAGTCCAGAGGGAACCTCTCTAAATTTTGTTCATAATTAGCAGGAAAAAAAAATAATAATACATATTATATTGTATAAGAAACACAATACCGAGCAATAGACTCTATTTTCAGGGAAAATTAAAAAAAAACAAATGTTTTCTATTATAACTAAGTAGCATTACTTAAGGTAACTAACTTAAGTTAACCTTCTAGTTAACCCTAGAATTTAACCTATGTATTTTGTTTTTAGAAAAACTTAGTTTTGACTGGTGTTCGAACTATTATCATTACAGAATAAAAAAAATTGTATGGTACAGTTAACTATCAAAAATAAAATAATATTTTTGGTCATTATTTAAAATATTCTAAGATGAAATAAAAGTAATATTGTAATGAATACTCTAATAATATATGTTCTCATCAGATTCTTTGTTCTCACTCGCATCAATATACTTAGAAATCAAAGATGATTTTTTTTTTTTTAAATGCATTGTATTTTCCTTTCTTAAACATAACTTTATGCTAAAAGAAAAAGAAAATCCTTCAATAAATAATTCGATAAAACAATTTTTTAATATTTAATGTAAATAATTTTACTTGTTCTGATTTTCCATCATGATGAATTTTCACATCTTTCACTCCCCCATTTTCTTCTAAAATAATTTCCAAGTAAAACATATCTGATGACACAAATATATCTTTACCAGAAGGTCCGACAGTAAACTTGAGGCTAGAAAAATTAAATTTATAAATACCTAATTATTTTAAATTACAAAACATAACAAGCAATTATAGTTACCCTAAATGTCTGCTGACACTATCTAAACGTTCAATCATTGTTTGTAATGTTGTCACTTTAATATTTTGTTGTAATAGATCGAGAGATTTTTGAACTAGGCATTTTTCATTCGGATCAACATTTATACGTTTCTCCTAAATATAAATTAAATATATACAAATATTTCATAAAAATAAAAAAATAAACATTTAGTCTATATAAACATTTTTATTAATATGCCTTATTATTTAAATATAATTTTGTTAATTTACTAAATACTTAAATTGAGCCAAGTGATTAAATTATATAATTTAATTGCTTGTCACTGTAAATTGTAAAACAATATCAATTTATTAATTTATAAAGCATGTCATTTTGTACTAAGTGAAAAATGTATTAGTTTTAATATAATGTGTTGCTCTTTTTTTTTTAACAAGGTTTTGATCACAAGTCTTATTTCAATTATTAACTTCAAGGATTTTTTCTGGTAGTCAATTATGTCTAATTGGTGTATTGAAGAGGCCATTATTTGATTTTCCTTAATAATTTGTGTTATTCGGAAAAAAATATTTATGAAACAACAGTTTCTGTTTTAAACAATAGTGTTTTTTATTGTAAACTTGGTGGAAAATAATTATAAAGATCTGAAATTTATACTAACTATTTAAATTATCATTTTCTAGACATTCAAGTTTTGATATTATGTGGACAATGAATATTAAAAATATACTTATTTTTATTGGCATCCAGAACTTAATGAATTAAGTTCAAATTTATGATAAAATTATTTTAAAACACAAATAGTTTTGATTTAATTTGTAGTTGCAAATTAATAAAATGTTAATTTAAATTCATTGAAAAATATTTAACTGATTCCTGCTCAAAATAATTAATGATTTGAAATGATTAATGGTTTTAAATGGTTTTAAACAAAATTTACTTATATGAATATATATTGATTTCACATTTATTTACAACAGTTGCTTATCTTAAATAAGTGTCCGCAATACGTTAGTTTTGGGAAGAGTATTAGAATACTATCACAGTACCTCTGTCATAAGAGGTAACAAATGGGTCGATAGCCGATGTAAAATTTTGTCAAACAGTATAAGGAATTCTAAGATAAGTACAAGATTTAGGTAGTTTGTCTCATCTCATATATTTATGGGGATAACAAGTTAGAGGAGGTACCACAGTGCATGATATAGCTTTAATATGAAAAACTCAGGAATAAATTAACAATAGATCTGAATTATGGAGAGGAACTAGACAAGACAGCTAACAGCAATAAGCAACTAAGTAAATAATTAATCAGGTAGGTAGTCTGAAAAGTACCTTGTAAATAAGCAAATGTTTCTTTTTCCTCAAAAACAATAATGATAATTGAATTTAATGGCTGAATATTTCCCATAATATGGAAATTCAAGGATTATTATATATTAATTATATTAATGGTCTTTGAATAAGAAAAATGTTATTAAAACATTTAAAAGTAAAATTTACTCATTATAATCTAGGTGTCTAATGATAATATTTGATTATATTTATAGTATACTTGTCTTTGAATTGTCTATAGCAAACAAATTATAGGTTCCGTCATACTCTATTTCAGATAAGAGTATAAGGAATATTGCTTACATTTAATAATTGCGGACCCGTTATCGCAAACATTACATTCATTAGTCATTACAAATACACTATTAACTTATTTTATGGTAGACTTCTACATTTATATTACACAAAAGAAAAAAAGGAGATAGGATTTTGTAAGAATGAAAAATGAACTGTGCTTTTAAACCATACATAGAATGTTAGGCTGTAATTTAATGGGTAGTAATTAACTCACCAGCAGAGCTAATTTGATGTTTTTAATAGAATCTGTCAATGGTTTGTATTGCGATTGGAGCGCTTTGCTGCGCAACTTCTCCATCATCAACTGCATTTGAAGTTTTCTTGATTTATCCTCCGATAACCCATTGTGCATCAAAGCTGTTGTTGACATGAAGAAAACAATATGGGTGTTAATTGATTATTTTGAATTACACATACACGTAACAAAGTCGATGGACATTAAAACAACCACCGATACCAAGGTGGTCGGAAAAGTAATACAAGCAACTACGTTTTACCTGCAGCTGACTGTGCGGCGGCGTTCATGATTCGAAACTTGTTCTGAAGAGAAAGGGAATAATCCGCAAAATACTTGAACCGAGCAAAACTGGGACAGAATTCTCAGCAGATAAACTACTCGCAGTGTATATAATAATAATAATAATAATAAAACACTAATAATGTATTCGTAGAAAGTAATAAAATTATAAATGATTTTTTTTTTCTTAATATTATGATCTTTATATTTTAACCTCAAACTACAAAGATTTTCTGTTTCCGACAGTTCTCGATTACACCGTTTCGGGCGCTCTTGTCCGTTAGTAAATACGGTATCTATAATCGTGGTAGTAAAGACTATTATCACGAGTTCGGGACTATCATCATCGCTTATCAATTTATTATCAATGAAATGACCAGATGATATAACCAGTGTAAACAATAAATTAATAAACACTAAACATTAAAATCCGTCCTCAACGACACCAACTGGCAACTGGCAACTGCCAAAAGCCGACTACGAACTATAAATTCACGGACTCGCATACCGTATGCTGGTTTTTTGCTCCAATAATTCGAAAATTACTAAACATTACACGTAGTGGTTTGGACGTTCGGGATTTTAATATACTTTGTTATTAACCGGTGCTACTCGAAAAAGGGAACTACATTCTGACTGTCTATAACGTTTCATTCGGAAATCTATTTATTTTAAATTTTTATTTCTCGTTTTATATACCTAGTATAATAATAATTGATTATTGGAGTGTAACTTGTTTGGCTTCTTTATTCGACAAGTTACCATGGCAACCCATACGAACATTGGCTATCAGAAAATTGTATTAGGTAAAACTAAATTAAATTAATTAATTTGTCTATAGTATTAATTCTTGTAATAATATTATAGTAAAAGAAAATAACACCAGTTTTTCAGATTTCGTCCGATTGTATAATAAATTTTCACTTACAGTATTGTCATAATAAAAATTAAAAACCAACCTTGTTATTTTAATAAAAATCGATTTTATTTAGCATATGTTTTGTTTATACAATGTGTTTTTCAAGTAAGTTGAAGATTTTATTATATTATACTTGTGTGATTTTGGTGTGTTTTGTATTTTTGGTTATTGTTATGAACCTTTTTGTACCTATTTAGTTTTTTTTTTTTTTTCATTCTCATAATAATTTAAATCAGATGATAGGACGGAATTATTTTATATGAAAATAATGCTTATAGCAGGTTAGAATAACATACTTTATTTTAAAAAAATAATTTATTATTATTTAATAACATATGTATATTTTAATATTGTTACTTCTGAATAATAAAAATTATCCTTAGACCAAGATACCTACTGTTAATATCGGAATTCGGAATGTTATATGTACCTGGGTATTTAATACAAATTGAATAAGATACTTTATAGTAGGTACCTATATGTTTTTATTTCATTAAACGATTTTTTTTTTTTTCAAATGTAGCGATAAATGATATTGTTGTCTACTTAAGAAAAAGATGCATTATTTCATTTTTTTTTTTTTTTAATCCTAATATTGTTGAATAATATACCTATTGATTATTTTTATTAAACGTACCTGTATAAAGTAAATTTTTCTAATTTTAAAAAAGAAAACTGAAAAAACCAAAATATTTTTGTAAACTATTAATTATTTGTATACACCTTACAAATTATCAATATTCTAGATTTGTTGAGAAGCAAGACATGTTATATTGCCTAGTGGTATTATTTATGGTTTTTTTATTTAAATTTTTTTCCTGTTTTGAACGATTTTTTACCAGGAATTTTGATCCGATCAACTTCAGGTGTGGTTTCTGATAGAGAATTTTGTCTAATTAGTGTATTGAGAAGTTAATTTTTTGATTTTACTCCTAGTTTTATTCATAATGAGGGAAAAACGGGTATACCTACTGTTTTTTTTGTTAGTATCAATTTTGTTTTGTTTGGTTTTTTATTTGCTATAATTCAATTAGAAACATACAATAAAATAATAAAGTAAAAACAAAACATGATAAATAAAATAATGAATGCTTCGCCTGAAGTATTATGATAAGTGTATTACACGACCGGTTTCGAATTACAAATTCATCATCAGGTATATTATCACAGTCAAAATGAGTTGCGTTTTACATTTTGACTATGACGATGAATTTTTAATTCGAAACCGGTCGTATAATAACTTGTATGACACTTGTCATAGTTCATAATGCTCCAGGCGACGCGTTCATTCTTTTTTAAACATTTTTTTTTATATATTTATTATTTACTATATTTAGAAATATACTGCAGAGACTAATATTTATATTCGCACTTTATAGACATAATGTAATTTCCAAAACATTTTGACGTATTTTAGTAATAACTCAAGATTAACATGAGTCAGCATTATAGCTGATTGAAACTGTTGTGTTTTTTTTTTAATCGTTTATGTGGATATTAATAATTATATAATTTATTTTTATGACCGTTTTCATGTTCACGTTTATGTTTAAATTTGTTAAAAACACTAAAAATTGTAATTTATTTTATTCTTAGAAATTAATTAAGTTGATCGAAAGATTGTTTGACCTATTCAACTGAGAATTATTTTTCGATAACAATAATTTATCGTTGCGTACAATAGATTTGTTTATTTGTATATTTAAACGGGCGAACTCAGTTACAATGATAGACATACCTACGTCTAGTATTTACAATAATATTTTTTGTTACAGTTTTTTTTTTTATCTTAAATATAATACAGATCACAGAAAATATAAATATTAAAATAATTGGTAAATAGATAGGTTTAAATAAAATAAATGCGATGTTGTGAACATTAATAATCCGAATATTTCACTAAACGAAAATGATTGAAAATATCCAACAATGCAAACTTATACTAATAAGACATTGGCATAGAATGTAACATTTATCCAGCCAAAATTGTATTTAGGCAATAACTAAAATCAGTTATTGAGACACAGAAAAACAGATCAACAAGTTGCATTAATCGATTTATAGGGGCATTTTGGCCATAGTTCGAACGCTCAAGTGGCACATAAAAAGTATTCAACTGTCTAGTTCTATGATTTGGAATATTAAAGTTCAGTAAAAAAAAAAAAAAAGCAATTCTCGGCAATTAGTACTCCCATTCGTTAAGTTAAAAATAAAACATAAATCTAATCGTTTTCGTCTATTATCAAGCGTTTCTAACATTAAGTATGATAATAACGACTGATATGATGAGTGAGGCGTACCGTACGTTCGATACCACATCTGAATTGTATAATTCGTAGAAAACGGGTTTAAATTGAATCAATAGCTTTTATAACACCAATTGGTTTGGGACTACACTGTAGATCCATAGTCGAAATTAACTAGTTTTTAACCTACTTATATATATCCTATCCTACCAACTTCTCACTAATTATGGTACGCTGTACAGCTTTTGTTATGTTAGTAATATTTAAATACATTTCTTCGCAAACGTTTACAATATTTTAATTATGATAGAAATTGTATAAACACACAATATACTCGTGACATTATTTTTGTATTTTAAATTTAAGCGATGGCATGATTTAAAATAAAACAAATGCTGCTCTAGATTTCTTAGTTCTAATGCATTTGATTTTTAAAAATGCTTGTGTCTGTATGTGAACGACTATTTTTGTTCAAAAATATTGCTCCTATCAAAAACTATAGGAACTACCCCGTATCATTTTTGATCTATTAGTGGATTTCTTGTACTTTTATCAATAAAGGTAGAAAACGGGAATATTTACACGATGACGATTTCTGTCAATTTTGATTTCGTTTTTTTTTTTTTTGTGAGAAAAAATCATTGAGACGCGAAACTTTTACCGAATATTTAAATTACCAATTCCAAGAAATTTGACAGTTTTAAGTTTTTTTGTTGGGTTTACGTGGCTACAAATTTCGTTATATATTTTTATGCGTTCAAATTTCAAATCGGCACTTATCAAAAGACAGTTTTCGCTGTAAAACCCGCGGTTTTAATATTTGTATTGTGTGTGAAATCCTATTTTACTTAGTTAGGCCATTATGTATAGCGTACGTCACATAATATTCGTGACGGATAAATATTATTATAAATATTTCAGTTTGCATGAAACTTGTTTGTACAACATTTAACAATGTATATATTCATTGGCCTAACCTAATTTATAAAACGTCTACTATGATTCATGCAGACAAACTACACTAATATGTACCTAATTATCTAGATTATTTATAGGGCCTTTAAAGTCTTACGTAGGTGCAATAGTCGTCTCACGTCATAATACATAAAACGCGTTTCTGAAGTATATAGGTACATATAATATAGCAGTTATCATCTTGTAAATTGTTTTATTTTATGTTCGCGTTTTATAGTCGGTGTCATTTTATAAAAACGAGGCGGGAAAATAGAAATAAGTTATTTTTTTGTTCCTTTCCTGAGAAAACCCGAATACACGTCGCGGCAAATTTTCTCCGGTTAAAACGAAACAATTTTCTCCATACACGTTTTGTGCCTACTGTACCTACGGACCGTTATTTTTTTTTAATTTAGTTATATATTCGCCTTAAAATGTATAAAATAAAATACTTATATAAAAAAAATTACCGTCGAAACAGAAATTAACGCGCACTATTGTATACCTACACGTTAACCGACTACTAATATGATCATAAAAGAATCTGTACGGGTTTAAAATTTAACATAATACATTTCGTAAAACGAATACAATAGGTAGTTTTAAAAGTTTTATGATATTTATTATTGTAGGTATGTCGCGTCGTCAGCATGTCGATAAATTTCGAAAATCTTAAATTGAAATTAGCGTACGTTGTATACCTTTGTAGACGGAAAAAAGGGGTCGTCAGGCAGGAAACGGCGTACCTATCTATTATATTATTATTAAAAAAGTAAAACCCATAAAATAATAATACCGCATCCGATGACGGCTGCTGCAGTACGTGAATATATATTATAGAGAAATGAAACAGACTTGAATAACAAAAAACAAAATGTTAAATAATCTTGTGATAAATTATATCTGCATAATATTATATTTTAAATTTCGTTGTATAAAGTTGAAATCGGTTTTTTTTTTTTTAATATGTATATATTATAAGATAATATTATGTTTTAATTTTTTAATAACGAACGTTATTCGATTGCGATTAATAATAAAATTATAGTATATAATATACTCCCATTAATAATTTATTACCGATTTCACAAGTATGTGAAATAATATAATAAAATTTGATTTTTGTTTAATGTATATGACATCAATATTGTTGATTGCCAACAAACTATAACTATTTGACCTAACCCCCGAAAAAATTAGTCATCGTTTTTCAATTTTTCTGATTAATGTTATTACTGTTCAAATTCATTATTTTATCATATATGTTTTGAAGTAGATATTCTATTTTAAATTTTTGAAAAAAAATGGCTGCAGGTACGATGGTAATAATAATGATAGGTAACCTAACAACATGAAAAAATGCTACTAATACTAGGAAAATGTTGCGCCTTGTTACGATAATATACGATAGTGTAGACAGTGGTATTATAGTTACTGACATTGGTCTTCAAGGTTTTACTTTTAAAGATTTAATGTAATACGAATTCCGACTAATTAACATTGAAGTTTAAATACGTACGTAACTAATTACGTGATCAAAATATTTAACTCTTGAAGTTAATTTAGTTAGTAATAATATTGTTAATTTTGTTTAGCTATATACTAATATACTACTGAGGTTATTATACAGGGTGATTTACTCAACTGGAAACACTCATTATCTCGGAAAGTATTAACTTTTTCGGAATTTTTTTTCTTTTGAAAACTTAAAAATCAAAAAGTTGTAAAATGTTACGTTATCATTTTTTTTTGTACCCCTTTTTTAGGGGGGTGAAATGACTGCCTACTTTAGATTTTCAAATGGCAACCTATTTTTAAAATGCCTTAAATTAATGAAGTATTATTTAAAATGAATTTGGTGTTGAAATTTATTTTAAATAATACTCCATCAATTTAAGGAATTTTAAAAATCAAAAGTAGGCAGTCATTTCACCCCCAAAAATAATGGATACAAAAAAAATGATAACGTAGAATTTTAGAACTATTTGATTCCTAAGTATTTAAAAAAAAAAAATTTTGAAAAAAGTTAATACTTTCCGAGATAATGAGTGTTTTCAGATTAGTGAATCACCCTGTATGCAAATTTTGTAAGAATAAACGTCTACGAGATAAAAATATTACCTACATTTTTGATATTAATTACTCTGTGAAATTAGTATGGATAAAACATTAATACCTGTATTATAAGTAAATAGGTATTTATTTATCTGTTGCATAAATTAAATTAATCACATGGATTTGTATAAGTGTTAGAAAATAATATTGCGTAACATAAAAAAAAGTCGGATATACTTCTCACCATATTGTCTACCTTGCATGGACATCGAATTAATTTTGAAACAATTAATTCCATGTGGAAAAAATTAACAAAAAAATTACAGCGCTCACGAATAGAGCTATAGGGCACTAGCTGTTGTTTGTTGTAGGTGAGTAGTTGGAAAGGTAGGATATATAGGTTAATTTAGTCTATGTGTACCGTATACACGATTAACCATTGAAAACTGAAAACGATTCTGAACGATCAAACGGAGTAGGTAGTACTAGTCGTGTTTTCTTTTTCCCCTCGTGTTTGTCAAGGTAAACCAAAAATCAACAAAATCAAAAAAAAAAAAAAAAAAACTTATGGATAAACTGTTTAAAATATAAATAAATGTTTCAAAGTAAATACTACCGGGGAAAATATTCGCGTTTTTTCACGTACAGGTATCTAAACATTTTCGGTTATAATAAAAATGTTTCGATTTTTTCATACCATACCTATCAAAAGGTGCAGATTTTCGATTTTATGATATATTTTTTTAAATAATTTAAACGAAAATATCCTACATAATATATCCCAATACTCGCCTACAATAGTGGCCTACTATATAGTGGTGTCATAATGCGATAAGTATGTCCGACTTTTTTCCAATACTAATTTGTGTTTTGATTTGTTTTTTTTTTTTACAAAATCTATTTCGGTTGTAATAACCTTTGTCCATTCATATTACCTTTTGTCCTTTTGTTATAACACTACATTTTTTTTTGCTTTATATTTTATTTATCTACATATACTGTATGTTGTATATATAGTAGATACCCATACCTATTGCGTGTAGGTTAGTAGTTACTTAGTTTTACCGATACAATATACAATTGAACGTATATAATTTATCCTCAAAGTTTGTTGATACGGTTTGTACGGTATATTCGTCGTATCGACTGCCGCCGTTATACACACCCAGAGTACCTACAGGTAGTATTTATTTTCGTACGTTTCCATTCTATATATAAATACACACGTATATTTGATTTTAATATTGTGACATGAACGCGAGGCGACACAGGTACATAATGCACGGTATGTATACGCCGTGAGCCTGCAGCTATTTTGTATACCGTGTAAATAAACACAGGTAATTATTATAAGTAGGCGGTACCCATACACATTGTACAATGCAGGTTCCGAGGCGAAACGCAAGACAAACATCCAATTATTTCGTATTTGCGTACTAATTTACACTATATACTCGTATTATTATTTTCTTTTTTTTTTTCGTATTTGTTTTTGTGCAGGCAAATTGTTGTTTAGTTAATATATTCTTCTTTTCGTTCTGTTAATATATCTCGAACTTTCGCTCTTACTCTACTACACCAGTTCCGCCGCCACACTATTTCCCTCAAATCTGCACGATTGCCTTCATACTTGTAATTTATCTATTCAATCACCACCCTCCCCCCTCCCTGAACCGGTATACCGCAGCCAAAATCAAATTTCGAGTGTGGTTGCTATTATAATAACGTTGTACACACTATATATTTTTCTTTTCTTTTTTGTAACGATAAAATAAACAATAAAACAAAAGATTTCCGGAGGGTGGAGGGGGGGGGATTTAGTGCACTCTTGGCTACGGCATTGTTCCACAAATCCTAGCTTCTCCTTTTGTGTGTGTGTGTGTGTGTGTGTGTGTATGTGTTCCAATAGTAAATATGTTATTTAGTTGGTTTATATATTATACATAATTGTTTGAATAATTTTTTATCATATAGGAAAGAATATTTTGGATACAATACATCGACGGTGAATAATCAATACCATAATAATAAACAATACAATTATTAAATTAAATCGAAATGTCAACGTTTTGCGCAGACGGTCTTATTCCGGCGAGATTTTTATGTCTCGTGGCGCATTTCATTATGCTCGTCATGGCGTTAAATCACAGGGTAAGAACTATACAGTTTACGAAATGTAATTTTTCAATTTCTCGTAATAAAACCGAATTGTTCGCGTTGGTTAAATGAGCATTTACATATTGTGTTTTCCATAGAAAGGTATACTTAGTGTCTAAAACTATTTTATTATTTATTCGCCGTTCGTTTCAAATATTATTTTGGTCTCGAAATTTCAAACTGATAACGATATAATTTTGGTAAACTTCAAATAGATTTTATAAGTGACAGCAAGTGAAGCACTTTCTCGTTGGCGATTTTTCTATTTTAATGAATACAATATATTTTATATAGCGGTGGTTATCAAACTATTTAAAGGACGAAGTCCTTTTTATGAAAAAATCAGTCGCGGTGCCCTGCTATATTATGAACACCACAAGGAACATTAATAGAAAAAAAAGGACAATCTATAATTCTCAATGATAACCAATTAAACAAATTCGAACAAATATTACAAGACGGAAAAACCGAAAAACGGAAAAAATGTATACCTAAAAATATAAACCCCCTAGGTGCACAGTCTGAGAACCGCTGTTTTATAGTATATTATCAATGACATATTTCATATTGTTTAATTATAGAAAAATGTGTAGAAGTATTAAATATTTTTAAATGTTCAAAATAATTATTACCCTTAACAGAAGTTTGAAATCAACAAATAGTGGTGTTCCCGTAGAGTATACTACAATACTACGTATTAAAATAGTATGTACACGCCGTAAACTATCCGCAGTATAAATCACGTGTATAATACTTTCAAATAGTTTTTCAAAAAAAAAATTAAAAAATCGTTACGATATATCGTCCGTTCGCACCAGTTATGCCATTTAAACCGTAATAGTTTGTTTAGTTATAGTTATTTAGTTAATAGTTTGATATTGATATAATATAATATTCAATTAAAAAAAAATCCTTAGTAATAAAACGTCAATTTATTGAAATCAAAAATAAGTTTATTCAATTTTTAATTAATATACAATAACGCGAATAATTAAATACACGACAATAAAATTGTACAAATAGCAAATACTATGTACTATATTTAAACTGTAATTATTTTTTTCTACGATTTTAAAATCTCTTATGACGCTTTTAATGCGATATCCGTTTGCATACATTTATCACCTATATACAAAATAAATAGCGACATTGGCATGCCGTGAGTACAGATTATTTGAAAATAACAAAACACAAAAAAAAATAAATTCAAATCTAATGAGTTCAGTATCGAGTCTGTAACAACATAATAGTATTGTATTGATTTATCGAGTGTAGTAATGACTTAATCGAACGGATTAAAATGTGTTGTATTGTTTCATTATAAAAGTTTATCTGTGTCAACAGCGAAAAAAATAACAAAAACAAAATAAATAAACGATTCTCTTGAATCATTTTTTTTTCCGATATATTTACCAAACACACACCTATTATTCCTGCTTACGAATAGTATTATATAATGTAAATAAATATCTTATTTTTTTAACAACAATACAACACAATAATAATATTGGTATGTGATTTGTAGTTTCTCATGCTCATTCGCTAGTCGGTTTTTCCTTTTATGATTTAGAGACTCAATCGACTAGTTTCGACAATTATTTCGTGAGTAATAATATTTCGTGTTTGAAACGTGGGAAATGGGAGACAAATTACTAATAATAATAATAATAATAGCAATAACGAATCCTCGGGGGTCTGCGAAAATTAACGATAATTTTCTACATCATTATGTTATGGTAACTATACGCTGTGGTCCGGTTTATTGAAAAAATATCGTTTCAAATACATGTTTCAAATTTAAAATCGGTTATACGAATCTGCGCGATTAGACCAGATCGGTTATTACTGCATGCACAGTTTAAATTAAAACTGTACAATATTATTAGCGTCCATCAGTGTAGTTATACGCACTGTCACGGCATACCAACGGCGAATCCATGGCGGGAGGGGAGTACAGGAGTTTTGCCCTACACTCCAGACTATAGACTATACAAAAGTTTTTACTTCCACAAATAATTAATTGTATAACACATAGATATACACGAAAAGATTTTCAAGGAAGATCAGCGGAAAGGAGCAATGAATTTATTGATTGGACTAGTATGATGTATTTTAGATTCTGAGTGGAACGAGAAATGTATTGGTTTTACAATAATGTTTATTTTATTATGTTTTTTTTTTTTATTTTTTTTTTATGTGAACACTTTTTCTACCAAAAAGCATACGCCGATTATCAACTATAGCACTTTTTCTGAAAGAAAATGTTCTCTAGTAGTACTTTAAAGAAGTCATCTTTCGGAAATTCTCATTAATATTCAAGATAATGAGGAAAACCTCGGTCTTAAGGTTAAAAAAAATTAGAAGATTAAAAATAAGGTTGTCATTGGCAACCGTTTTCATTTATTTTTTTTATTATTAGGTTTTATTATTTGAATATTTTTTAAACAATCATTGTCGTCATAAAAACGCACATTGTTATAATCATTTTACCATAATGTGACATATACCATTTATTGTATTGTTAACAAAGCAATATTATCAACTGAACTCCGCTAAGAATCGTTTTTTCGTTAACAATGGTTTATCGTTGCTTAAAGATATACATTAAATTCCTGTCTGTATCCTACCTTCCCAATTTCCCACCTACAACAGTGACTCACCCCCAGTATCACCTCTCTTTTTTTACTTAGTAATAATTTATTTTAAGAAGCCCACCCAAAATTCAACTCTGGATCTGCCACAATGGCATACATTACATACCTCTGGAGCTACACATTTACATACACATATATATATATATATATATATGTAATGATATGTTATAAAAACATTATAACTTTGTGTAAAACAAACATTTTTTTCCACGAGTTTAGAATTTTATTAATACTCACACGTTATTTCATCAAGGCTGGACGAGTTTACAAATGTTGAACGTTAAGTTCGCTTTAACGTTATATTAACTTAGATTTTAATCTTTTATTTTTTTGTAAACTCGCCTTATTTTTTGCTTCTATTGAATTAAAAAATACCGACTCGATTTTGAATTGCACTGCGTACTAATAGTATTAATAGTACTTACGTCTTTCAGTTAATTCCATCTATTTGAATTAATATACCCCAACTATAGACTTTTCTGGAATATGAACGCCATTGATTTTCAAATATAATGTTTAACTCTCAGTTGAATCGTTTTCATAATGGAAATGACAATTATTTAAAAAAAAAATAAATAAATAAATAAAATAAAACTGCACTTAAGTGAAAATTTTAATTAAATTTTCAAATCGATTTTAAACTTATCCTAATTAATTGATAAAACGATTAAATATTAACGATTTAACTTGTTGACGTTTAGATTCTGAACGCAACGATTATAGGTTTTACTATGTATGATGTATTTTTTATTTTTTTGTCTCTGTAAACAACATTTTTACCAGAAATCTTGCTTCGATTTTGAAATGTTGTGTCTTTTCTGAAAGAAAATTTTGCTTGGTTGATAAACCTACTAATAAACTAACAGGTTGGATTTTTATTTTAGTTTTTCTAATAACTGGTGAAAAACGGGAAAATGTATGAAAATGACGCGGCTTCATTGTTTTCGGTTTTTGTTTCTTTGTTGTTATTTGGTTAGCATAATCATACAGACCTGACATTTTCACAGAATAATTTTCTTAACGTGGTAAAATATTTAAAACATTCTGTCGATTTTCGAACTATTTATAGGCATTTTAAATTTTCGAGTCTTTTTAGTTTTCATTTGGTAAAAAGTTGAGCGTAATATAATCGTTTTTTATATATATATATATGTATATATATTTATGTATACTCATTTAAAGTTTAAATGTTTACATAAGAATCATAAAAATTACCGCATTTTAACACTTGTTTAACCGACCTTTGTTCAGAATCAGGGGTGGATTGGCCCACTGTGAAAATCTCGGTGTCCCGGCGCGCCACTTATATATCAATGAAAATGGGCCGATGACAAATACTGCTATTGGCTATTGTAGATAAATTTAAATTCGTGTTAACACGAATATTCAAAATTAATAAAAAAAAAAATACAATAATACTTTATTTTATACTTAAATCTCGTTTAAATCATAATAAATTATCATTTGTATTCCTAGACCACTTTATTCATTAGCAGCATCACGCGTTCGCGTTATTAACTGACCACCACCTCTAGAACTTGAATATTATTTTTGAGTTTGACTCATAGCTGATGCTATCAACTAATATATTTATTAAATTAGTACCTAAAAGTTTATCGTAGGTAGTACAGTGAAATTTTGTTTAACTTGTCACTATACATTCTGTTTTTGACTTTCCATTGTCACTTAGCATATATGTAGTACCAATCTATTTGGATTTAAATTCTCGAGTTTAGGCACGTACATTTTTTCATATTATAATTTTCAGTATACAACTATTTAAATAACAACAGCTTTTATTATTATTTATTAATTTATAATTATTATTGGATACCTATCGTCGAAATGTACAAATACTTTACGGCCATGTACATTTCCCCCTTCCTAATTTTAAAATATGACATTTTTCTTGGCCCAATCGTTAATATCCCGTTAGTATTGGATAGTAAATAAAATTTTTTTTTTTTTTTTTAATTCACTGAGAGGGCTGAATAAATGGTCAAAATTGCTGATTTTAACAATTTCCTAATTTTTCTTAGCCCAATCGTTAGTAGGAGGTACTCCATAATTATTAGGTAGGTAGTAAAACAAAAATCATCGTTAATAAATAATTGGTTATTTTTAAAATTAGAATATGCATGTAGGATCTTGGATATGATCATGTGAGTCGTTAGATTCTATTTTTCCAGGCCGGTCAGATCATGCCTGCCCGTGCCTGCTCAGAAACATATTGTTGCGTACAGATATATAAATTAAATTACTCTATTTAATTTCTTACCTTCTCGAATTCTCGTCAGTGGCACATCCAACATTCAGTATCAGCTCTTTTTTTCAATTAACTTGACTTTTAGCCTAGTATATATTATATTATTATTCACTAATTTCCCCAGCTTTGTAGCTATAGGCAGACAAGTATCATTATATACAGAAATATAAATATTTGTCTTCTTTTATTTCGAGTTTAGAACTTAAAAACACATTTTATAAAGCATAAGAAGACCTCATTTACACCTATTGGTAGCAAATCATCTAACGCGTCGGCTGTTTACACAAATTAAGTTGACAACGTTAAAATGTAAATCTAATTAATTATAACCGATAGATACCCTTGTACATAAAAAACCGTGACTTATTTTAACGTGTGTTTGGACATACTTTTAGCGATTTTAAGTCGAAAACGCGCATCTCTAATGCATTGTAATTTATGAACAATCCTAACGGTTATACATTTTCATTTAATTATGTATAGGACATTTATATTTTTTTTGAAAAATCAAAAAATGGAAATTGTATTCAGAGATTTAATTTCGTATTCTGATTAACATTTTTAACGAGTACTTATATCCACTCAATTTTTCCATAAATTATTATAATATTCATGACAATACTTATCTGCGAAAAAACCTAATTTAAAATAAAAATTATTCAAACATTAATTCAAATCACGATTTTGGAGAATGAACTATTTAGTTTTTTTTTTTTTTTAACTGAATACTAATTTTTTCGATTCTTAGTGTAACGAATAAGCCATTATATAGCTTTACTTTTTTTTTCTTAGTAAAAATGCCCCGAATTTCTAAACTCATACATTTTTAAATAAAATGTAAATATCTTAAAACATAAATTTCGAAATGATGTGACGCATCGACGCGTCGATTTTATTTTTATTGATTTCTGCGTTACCTTGGCTACAAGGGAAAAACACGATCAACACAATAATTTATTCCAATATATACTCAACTGAAATTTTTTTTTGATTGAAATGAACTATCGTTAATTTCTGTATAAAAATCATATTACCGTATACATTTCAAACTTCCCGCCTACTATATAGTGCCTACCCATGGTTTTTTTTACTTTATTACATCGCACCTATAATTATCGAGGTTATAATTTTATTGACAAACAAAACGTCTGATAAATTATGATAACAAAATTAATTTATTACGGTTTTTCTTTTTTATACTTCAAATGCTATAATTATATATTTATATTGTTTTATGTTATTTGGACTCAAGCCTGCGTCATTAATAATAAATACATATAATGTCCTTATTTATTGTCGTGTCATTATTTATACTAATAGACTAATAGCCAAATAACTTTACAGTTTATAATATTATCACATATGAATGGGTTTAAACAATAAAGAATATCATATTCTAAACGTCTTCATTTCGTGTCTGTCCTAATTTCTGTAATACGACAAATTATCGTTTTTATTGAAATGTTCGTCAGATTTAATAAATAAATGTGGTTCATAACTTGCAGTCCGCTAAACTACCTTTAGCGCACTGAAATAAATAAATAAGGCAGATGGTGGTGGGATAATAAAATCAATTAGGGATAATATCCGGTACCCGCAGTAATCGAAATCGAAAACCAAGAGTTAAATCAATAAGTAGTAAAATTAAAAAAAATGTCATCAGTAAATCGAGGTGGTCCGCGGCCTATTGTAAGCTACCCAAGTGGTCCGCAGTATCAAAATGGTTGAGAACCACTGCTATATACATATCTATTTACTATTTTTCAAATCGTCTTATCAATTTACGGAGCATTTGTCTTTTTTTTTTTTATCCACGAGAGAAAAATACCTTTGCTCGAAATATCCTTCTGGCTACGCCACTTTTAGGTACTTTTAATACTTTATTTTATATTAACATTTTGTTTTTATGTATTATAACCGATAATCTATTCAGGAACAAAATGTAAAAGCTTGTCTACCGTACGATTATGACAACGATCTATACCTGGAACAAGACAAAAGGTAATTTCGAATAAAACAATACAAATTATAATATTATGGTACGCGTCACACACACGCAGCGTGTCGCAGTGTCACGTACCGAGTAGTAGAAAATCAGTAGATATACGTATTATAGGTACTTACCTATATAGTTAGTTTTTGTAACAGTATAGCACGTTGTTATTGATTTGATTATTTGTTGGTTTTTTTTTTTTTTTTTTATATGCCGTATAATATATATTATTCGTTTGTTGTTACACAAATCACAATATTTAATTTTAAATAGTTTTTATTGAAAAAAAAAAAAAACCCCCCATGGCCTTATCACTTCAAATGAGTATCTATACTGGCTATAATCGTACATAATCAAACACGAACCACACACGCAATACTTTCAAGTAGTTTCAACGGCTTCAAATTAATTGAACAATTATTATAAACTGTTTTAAGTATACATCAATGCCCTGATATAGACAGATCGTATAGGTATAGGTAGGTATACAATATCGCGTCAAAATCGATTAAATTGTTCAAGAAAAACCGGATTTAAAACACGAGTTGTAAATCACTATAGGTATATTACTGATATCGTTTTGTTCGATTTTAGAAAAAGAAAAAAGTAGGAACTAAAAGTGTTCGGTCTTTACCTACGTCGTAGTGTGTATTGGATACGAGCATCCGCGAAATAATGACCGATTTCGTCTTATTTTTATGTCTAATAAAAATTGTCTTTTTTTTTTTTTGTACTATATAAAATCACATTGAAAATATATAAAATATCCGCGTACAATATAACATGTCAAAAATTTGAATTTTTAAAAGTAAACAACGTATAACTACAAATAATTTCCTATAATTTACTGTCATGTTTGGCAGCGTATATCACTGCAATAATGGGAGATACGAAAAAAAAATGTTAAGATATTCCATGTGTAATTGGGTAAAATAATAAAATCAAATTTAAAATACTTTAGTAAATAGAAAATTATTTGGAATAAAACGTGATTGATTTTTAAAAAAAAAAACAGATAATTTGCACATTTTAGGTTTAATTGCGTATGTTGGTTGATAGCACAATAAAATAGCTTTAAAACAAAATGAAAATTAAGTTAAAAAGTTGACAAATTTTTAAAATACATAAAATAAAAAATGCTTAAAGCCTATAACTCAAAAAAATAAATTTGTTAGACATCGCCCTTTTAAAGGGGTTTCTCCATCATTTTTGGTATACTTTCATATGACGCCGACCGATGACTCCCCCCTCCCCCCCGGGAAACATCGTATATAGAAAATAATAGTAATATTATAATAATCAAGTCGAATCAAAATAGATAATACACATTACATAATAGGCAATTGTTTTTTTTTTTTTTTTTTTGTAATCTGACACAGGTATACAATCGGATTACCCCGACGGTAAAATAATATTTTTGTATTTTCACAAAGTCGGAATATAGATAAACAAAAAAAAAAATCTGAAAAACACTAAACTTCTATCAACACTCATCATCCAACTCGCCTCAAACACGGTTCTCGCGGTAACCCGCCTAGGCGCTTAAGACGTAATCGGTACCGCGACTAAATCACTTAAACCTACAATCTTGTTACCGGGTCTCTCTACCATAAGACTCCTGTCACGCCACTCGCTGTATTTTTTATATTTTTCTGTCCGGTATAAAAATCTCTTATCATTGTACTATTTTATGTGTGGATTGTATTTTTTTTAAATATTCAAAGATTAAAAAAGAAATCGGGCGTACTTCACATGATGAGTGAGCCACTGTTGTGTGTGAGAAGTTGGGAATGTTAGATATAAAGGGGAATTGAATGTAGTTTTGTTTGCAACGATTAATCATTGCTAACGAAAAACGATTCTGAACGGAGTTTGGTTACACAATATGTTCTAACGCCGTAATATTTTCGATTTTCGTCAACATTTGATATTATTATAAAAAAGAAAATATAAACTGCATTAAACTCAACTTTTTCCTGTTGACTACTAAGTTCATCTTATAATGAACCTCCTGTTCAATTTTCAAGTTTCTAATTACAACAACAACAAAAAAAACAAAATTGAAAATTTAATAAAAATATTATTTTCGTAAATTGTTCCATTATTCGTACGTTTTTCCTAATTTTTCCTAAAAAAAAAAATGCTTGAAAAAACAATGAATAACCTTCTCGGGCGAATTACCTTTCAGAAAAGGCGCTACACTTGAAAATCGAACCAAAATTTCTGGTAGAATTTTTGTACACAATATAAAAAAGAAAAAAATAATAACAATCATTGTAAAACTTATACATTACTCGCTCCGCCCAGAGTCCAAAACATACACTCGTCATACATTTCGTCGTATTCTATTCCGGTTTAATTCTATTTACAGTTTTGAGGTTTTTTTTTATACACACGCATACACGTTTTATATTTTTATTTTTATACGTTTTCATACGACGAACAAAGAAACGCACTCGCGTATTATTGTACATTTAGCCCTGTACAGTAACGTGCAAGTCACAATCATAATAATATTGCATTTGATTGTTTTTAGATTGGCACGCGCGCTTTGAAATTTCACATGTACGCAAAAACACACGTCGTTCACCTTTCATTATTAATTATTGTCGCACGCGCAGTATTCTAGATTCGTAATAATTATGTTCAAAAAAAAAAAAAAAAATGTCCGAAACGATTTTTGCACAAAACATATTATTACAATGTTCTAAAAAAAAAAAAAACACCTCTGTATTATTTTCCGTAGGTTGATGATTGGTTACACGCTTTCGATCGGTTTCATCGGAATCGAAATGTTCGGATTCATGAGCGGTATAACAATGTTTTCTCCTACGAACGGTTTTATATGTATCCTTTTCTCGTCACGAGCGTTTCAATATCCGATTGCACAGTCAGTGCGTATACTAATATAATAATGTATACTTGTATTGTTTCAAGGCGCTTTATTATTTATTATAAAAAAATCAGAAAAAAAAAAAAAAATGTTTCCGGTATTTTTTTTACCTTAACCAACTGTATTGCTGCAGCTATGATGTGTCACGGCGTGGCCACCACGATGATGTTCTATTTTCTTCAAGATTTATGGAGTTGCGAGATGTTTTGGTCCGTGTTTTTCATATGTAGCATATTGCCGTGCGCTATCGAACTGATCATGATATGTTATTCGTTTATAATGAAAAAATGATGTTACGTAATATTTTATTGTAAATTTCAGTACTTTTGAGATACGCGCACTTGTGTTTTTTATTTTTTTTGAAAAACGTTTTAATTTTAAGACTATACTCGATTTTAATACACGCAATTATTCATTACATTATTGTATATTACCCGACAATTTGTTTATTTTGTAATTTCATATCGAGTCGCAATATAATAACGTGTCTATACCTACCGTATTTTTTTTGTTCGTCACTCAAATCTTCGGTCCTGGGGAAGAATAACTGAAGTCTCAATATCGTCAAGTTTTCGAATTAAATTTTGAAAATACATACGCTCGTTGTACATTATAAAGACGCACTAATACGTACATTAATTTTGACATACATACGATTATGTCATTCTGAACGAAAAATTATACGAAAAAAAAAAAAAATTCAAATATTGTCTTACCCGGGACCGGAGATATTATACCTAATACATAATATAGAACTCGTACTATACTGCGTATACTATAAATGGTCAAATAACTGAAAAATTCGTCGTATTTTATTTTTATCAACGCCCGTCTATATATGTACTTCTAGAACCGAAATAGTATAGTAATACTAATAATTTAGGTATTAATTATTGATTATAACTAAAAAATTCACAATTTTCTTAAAATTTATAATAATTTCTTTTATTTAATTTTTTTTTTTTTAATGTCGAGTGTTACGGTAATTTTAATTGATTTTTTGTATAATCGATTTCTGTTTACCAACAAATGGCACAAGAAGGATAAAAAATACCTTTACGACGAATCCATTGTCGTACATAATTTATGATATTGCGGAAATAATTGTACCGAACACCTATATAATATTATATACTTGACATTTAGGAAGTGATATTTATTGTTGCGAATGCATTCAAATCGACGACACTCGTTCATTTATTAAACGAACGTTAAACGCATTTCAATCGCGATATTTATTTCACGTGCACGCGGGTACAAGCACCTCAAACAATGTTAATACATATTAATATTAATTATTATGTTATATTGATAAATATATTTTGTTATTATCGATGTTGAACGAAACTTGTTTGAAGTGCGCGAGGTTTAACAACGCGTTGTCAAATAATACGAATATTAGGATACCTAGCATTTTTTTTTTTATTTTTTATTTTTTTTATCGATAACGTTAAATTGTTTTAAATTCATAATATTATTACCTACCTATATATATATATATATACATACTCGGTAGGTAGGTAGGTAGGTATTATAATGTATAAAATGTATTGTTGTGTAAAATAAATCAATAATGGATGGGTACCTATAGTACATATACAGTACTTCTAGGCCACGACCAAGAGATAATGTTATATGGCATTCGATCATTTATTAACCTCATAACTCTTACTGTCGTTATTTTATTCGCATCAGTTTGCATTTTGGCGTTCCGCATTCATCATCCCGCCGAGAACTGCAGTGTATATTATTAGCTCGTATATATAAATATAGTAAACTTGGATACTAGTATTTTACGTTCCATCGTTACCTATATTATTATTTACAATAATAAAAGATATAATAGTTTTTTCGTCAACTAATTTACTCGCTAACGAATTTCTCAAGAAGTTCTCCCGACGACAGTTCAACAGAGACACACAGTCTAGTATTATTCACATGTAAGTGACCGTTACGATATAAATAAACATATAATACTTTCGATTTTAATTCGATCGAACGGTTCTGGAACCGTTATATTTTGACTATATTATGTACGATGTATTTTCGATTAATAGTTTTTGCGTTTTTATAAGTTTTTTTTTTTATTTAATGAGTTTTATGAGCTGCCCATTATTTCGTGAATTTTGGAAAGTTTATTAGGTAGATCATTTTCTAGACATATTTTAATATGGTATGCCATGGGTTTTTTCTCTGTGTACTATGCAAGTTTTTGTTCGAAAGAAAATTGTATGAATGACTATTTATGTATAGATATAAATACGAATGATCGCTGTATAAGTATTATGTTAAAATTTTAAAATTATTCAAGAAAAACGAAAATACTTAATGTCTCTGAAGAAATATGAAAAACAAATTTCACGTTAATAACTAATGTTATAGTGTTAGATATCTATAATACGTTTCTACAGTCATTTTATGAAATATCTAATAAATCTCTAAGCGTACTTCTTAAGGTGCTTTAAGTGCTTTGTATTTTTTGAAAAATTTTAAAATTTGTTTATTTAGCGATTCATATACAAAGTGTAATACGAAGATCTGACATCTGAAATAACTTTTATTCTACCTATTTATTATAATATTATCATTATTAATGGGTTTTTAAAAAAAATTATTATTATGCCCCTGCGCGAGAGTTAAAAATGTTTACTATATTTTAATGAAAAAAAAATCAAAATAGCTATTTTCTAAAATAGATTTTAAAATAAATTTTGACGGTTAAAACTTTTATTTAAGTATATGGTCATTCAATTTCTACAATTTTTTGAAATTTTTAAAAACGTGAATATTATTATTGCTTATAATCTATATTATAATATTTTATACATTTAATTGATTTTTAAAATATAATAATAATATAATATAATTTTTTCCCATGAGTATAATTCATAACATAATAATATTATCATAAACAATGTCTATTACAATGATTGTTGATTGTAAATTATTTACATTTCTAAAAATTTCAACAAATTTTAGAAAATAAATAACCATAATTAAATATAAGTTTTAATCATCAACAATTTTCTAAAAATCTATTTTACATAGTGGCTATTTTGATTTTTTTTTTTTTTTTAAATATAATAAAATCCCAACTTTTAATTTTATCGTAGAAGCAAACTTATTTAAAAAAAATATTGAATAGAACATCAAGTGTCATGATATAACACATTAAATAACAACAATGAACATTTCGTGTTCCACTATAATGTATAATATGATGTATCGCGTTATACTTTCCCACTACAATTTTAATCATGTAAATTTTTGCATAACAAATAAACAGATTTGTTCAATAAACACTACGTTAATATAAAATTAATTATTAAGTTAAGTTGAAAATTACTAATATTTGTTTATTAAACTAGTAAGTTATAAGTTGACTTTGAAAAAATTAATTTAATCTATTTTCTAATCCCTCAGTGTAATTTTTAAATCAAACAAAGCCCAGTATGAAAACTATAACTATAAACTATAGTTTTTACTTTCCCAATTTTTGCATGTTTTCCACCTACTTGTTAGTATTTAGTGAATTATTGATTATATTATTATTATCAACATTTATAGGAAAATATTCTTTATTCAAATATGTGTTCAAAAAGGGCGGGAGGGTTCCTATTTAAAAATCAGAAGTAAGTGCTTATTTAAGATGTATATGGAGTAGGGATCAAACATTAAAATTGTTTTAAAATAAAGCTTAAACGATTCCATAATGATCAAATTCACACTTTTCTCTTAGATAATTGCTGGTCCATGATAAAGAAAATCACTTGTATATAATTTATCATATGTATTCGATAGTTTTTTGTTTATGTTTGTAAAGTTAGCTCTGTATAGAGAGAATCCTATCGATGATCGCTGTGTTATCGGCTGGAAAGATTTAACATATAAACGTACAGATTTGACTTAAATCAAAAAAAAAAAAAAATAATAAATCACACGAATTGTTTAAGTAAGGTAATAATAACGTATCAATGTAAATGATAATTACTACTTAAGTAAATAAATTGGTTCGTATAATTCCTAAGCTTCGCGTTTATACGGTAATCCGTTGGTAAAATGTGCGATGGTCGAACAAGGGGGTTACTAACTGGATTTAAGCACTTGATACTCGATAGGTATAGGTACTGTTCCTTTTTTTTTTTTTTATTTATATTACTTAACAAAAAATTCACAATCTGTATACAAATAATAATTAATCCAATAAGTAAGACAAGTGCACCCGTTGACAAAAACAATTATTATTGTATATTTTTAAAATTTATTTACAAGTCACGATACTCTCGATTGAAGGACGCCACTTCATCGCGTTATAGCATACCTATATTATATAACGTATACCTTATCCTAATTGGCCTAATCCATTTCAACGGGTTTTATAAATTTGCACGTACCTATATACATACACACGGTATACTATAAAGTGTACATGTAAGTATACCTGTAAACTTGTTGGTTTTAGGACGATTTCGAATTTCGGTTGTAAACATCAATAAACATTAACGATAATATAATATTTAATAATTTTAAAAAAATCTGTACATTTTTTTTATATTATACGAGGTTAACAGTAATAATATTATTGTTGATGGTGGATTTCTGTAGAGTGGTCGCGAAAAAAAAATAAAAAACACATATCAATATCGGTACGTTAAATTTTGGAAATTCAATAAATTAGGTATAGGTAGGTACCCAAACTATTGAGTGAAGTGGATATAGGATTCGCGTATTTTGGAGACACAATTACTATTACACTTCACGCAGTTCGCGCGTTCACTTGAATACGGTTATAGTTATTGTTATGATGTCGAGTAATGTATATAATAATAATATATCGAAGATATTGTACTCAACGAAATGCACATTACCTGTATCGTCGTATAAATCAATATTTGCACCATAAAGCAATAAAAATTAAACCTGATTAGATAAAACAAATGTCAAATAAAAATATCAATTATACATACATATGTGTAAATCGAGGAGAGTGTCATCTTACAATTAGTAGTAATTCTAACCTTACCCGACATAGGTGACCAATATTATTACGTTATTAACTACTGTGTATTATATCGCGTTTACAAAATTATATTTGAACATTTTCAATGAAATACCAATTTCAGTTTAAATATATTATACCTACACACATAGTATTGTTTCGATTATAGTCGATTCCGGTACGCAACAATTTGTTAAATACAACGGTTTTTAAATTTTAATTCCGTATAATTCGGGTTTTTTTTTTCATTATTATTAATTTAACAAACAAAATGCAATACACCAAAATAAAAATAATCGATAGCAAAAATGGTAAGTAAAATTATTAGTATGTAAGATGGAAAAAATACTGATACACCTGTATTAACATTGATTTCGTTATAAAACCTGCAATGTATCTCGTACGTGTACAAATATATTTTACCAACTACACTATAATATGTGTATACATTGGTTACATTTGAAAATAGATTTTTTTTTTTAAAAAATATGAATTGTTTTCTCTTTTGGTGTACAATGAGTAAATGTATAATTTTGATTAGGCCCTCCCGATCAGGATCTCGACATGGGCGATAAGGACAATAATAACCAAGAAAAAGGATACAATCCGAATTATTTGTTCGACGAACAAGAAGACCTAAAAAAAGTAAATTAATACGTATTTTATACCATACGAATAAATCCTGATCCGTAATTAAATATTACGAGTGTCATTATTTAATGCTAAATTACCTGTAACATTGTTGTGTTATCTTGATTTTCCACAGAAAACTAGCGTCTCGTGGATTCTCGTTTTAACGGCCATAAGCGCTAGTTTAGGCTGTTCGATTCCTGCCGGGTACAACATCGGAGTAGTAAACGCTCCAGCAGAAGTGAGTACTCGAAATTCCCTCGTGCCACGATTATTATTAGGTGTTCAATTAAGAAACTCGACATAACAAAAACTATTATCTTGTTAATCAGGTGTTGAAACAATGGTGTAACGAAACGATCATACACCGCTATGGTGTCCAATTCACTGCGGCTCAACTCGACGGCCTCTGGTCCATACTGGTGTCGGTGTTTTTAATCGGAGGAATCGTGGGCGGTATAGCTGGTGGACGGTTAGCCGATGTATTAGGCCGGTGAGTACGGATGGTTTTTTTTTTATATATATATGTAATGTCTAAAATATATGTGTTACTCGATCCGAAATATTAATTTTGTAACTGTTACTTTCGCGCTTAAAAATTTCAACATGTTATATTATGTACGTTGTTAATTTATAATAATAATATCGTATTATCATAGTCAATTAATCTAATAATTACGAAGGATAACACAAGGAGTCATAAAACGATTTGTTATCTGCGAAAATAAAATATAATACTTTATAATACCTGAAGGTACCTCAGTACGAGGAGACACTAAGCATAATACGATTAAAAGAATTATTCGTTTAAACGTCTAATTTTGCTTAGTAATGAATAGGTTTATATAATTATTATTTTTTTTTTTTCATACGATCTCATAGGGAGATAATAATATTAACTGCCTATTTGTTGCTCAAAAATTAAAAGATGCGAGCATTATACGGTCGCGCCTTATTTCTAATCGTGTAGACTACTAAGTAGTCAACAGCACTGCGCATTTTTTGCGCGGTTCTTACGCCGTTTTCGTTAATGTCGTACGGCATTCCGCGTACACCTAATGCATATACGGACTTTTTTTTGTCAAAAATGTTGTTGAAACTTGTACCATAATATTAGTTAAATATTATAATTGCATTTTGGTATGAATTTATTAACACACATTTTCTTCAATAAAACAATACCCAACTTCAGCATAGTTCGTAACCAATTTTATGCCCCAATCGTATACAATATACGTACCTAATTTAAAAACGATTTGTTTAAACAGACGTTTGTATTCTACGAACAATACTCACCTACTTTATGTAAATAGTTGTGAACATTTTAATGAGTGATCCTTTATTATTTTATTGTTGTAAAAATATCAATAAATGTCCGTAGTAAGATGCACAATAGACCAATAATTATTATTATTATATGATATTCATTATTCAAAAATTCAATAAAATGTACAAACTCATAATATTGTATTATTAATTTATAACTTATACTTCAAATTCAGTTGCAATTTAGTATGAGCAATATTAACATTTTTTAGTGATTTTTTTTTTTTGTTAATTTTTTATGAAAACATTAATGAACTGTGCACATTAAACAATTTATATTTTCATAAATTTATTAAAATGTTTAAAGTTGTATACATATTTTAATGTTGTGCTAAAATGTTTTTATTTTTTTTTTTTTTTTGCAGGAAAGGAACTTTAAGACTGATATACCTATGTAATTTGTTATCCGGTATCCTATTTTTAAACTCTAAGTCATTTGCTCTTGTAGAAATATTCTTTATTGCACGGCTTTTATCTGGTCTATCTGCTGGTGAGTTATAAAAGTTATTACCTTTATCGTACATTTTAAACTCTAAGTTTTGTCCACCGCTAAGTAAGTGGATAAGTTTTCCCTGATGAACGATATTAACTATTTCAATGTTCATCAACCCGAAAACATAATATAAACTTACACTTACATGAAACTTTTTAGCTGTAGATTTATAGTGTTTAGCTTTGGAATCTTAAACAAATAATACATTGTTTTCACTATCGTAGTTTCTCCATTGAGTAGTGCCTTCACTATATTTGATAGCGATCTATGTAATTTTATTCTAAATATATTATATAAATCCACGCTTTTTTTCTTCTACTATTTAATAGATTAAAAGTATTTAAAAATTTAAGTTTCAAAAAATATTTTATCCTATTTTGAATGTAAAATTAATTTATGTTTCTTATGATTTTAGGAATCACAATGGCAATGGTACCTATGTATTTATTAGAGTTGGCACCCGCAGATAAAAGTGGAGTATTCGGCGTGGTATTTACAATAGGTCTGAATTTCGGAGTGTTGTTTTCTCAGTTTCTAGGTCTTGAAAATCTCTTAGGCAAGTGAACGTTTTTTTTTTTTTTTAATTATTAGAATGATAATAATATTATTATTTAATATGTATATAGTAATATTATATAAAACAATTTTTTAAAAGTGTTGAAATTTAAGTAACTAAAATGTTTTTTTTTTTTTTTAGGAAGTGAAGCGTCGTGGCCTTTCTTGTTTAGTTTATTTGCTGGTTTAGTAATATTAGCAATTTGTACATTACCTTTTATACCCGAGAGTCCTAAGTATTTATATACCGTGTGCAATGAATATGGCCAAGCTTTACTGGGTATATATTTTAATCGTTATCTATAGTTGAAATAATTATTGTTTTCCAATTTTTCCAACGTGGCTTAGGCTATATTAATATTCACAAAATATCGCAGATTACCAACGCTAAAACGTGATTTATTAACAGAGTGTACTTGATTTTTAGAATTAAGTCATTTAAGAGGAATGCCGTCCAGCGAAGTGAGTTGGGAGTTGGACAATTTGCTTGTTTCCTCAGAAAAATGGTCTCTCAAAAGAGTCATACACGAACCTATCACGTATAAAGCTCTAATAATTACCTGCATAATAATGTTGGGCCAACAGCTGTCCGGAATTAACGCAGTAATTATTTACTATGTTTATTTTATATTCTGAGCATAGCGGGGAAAATATTGGCTTTCCTATGGTGTGTGGTTATTATGTTTTTTTTCTGTCTGTGAGCAACTTTTTTATCAAAATCTTGCTCCAATTAAAATATGCCAAGAAACGGTTTTTGTTGCGTATTTTGAATCTACTTGGTACATTAAGAAGATCATTTTTTGATTTTTTTAAAGCATTTTGAGAAAACTAAAAAATAAATCTTATAGGAAACATTGAACAAATATTTACGACGCCGTTAATGATTTCATTATTTCCATTTTTATTTTTAAACTAAATTTCTTGCTACAATGTTCTAAAGTAGTATATTTTCTGAAAGAAAATTTTTTCTAGTTGAAGTATATTAAAGTTGATTTTTGACTAAAAAAAAAAAAATTGTAAGGTAACAGTTTTTATTTTAAAACCATTTTAAGATCAAATTTTAACAGAAAACGTGGAAATTACGGCATTTCAAAATACGTACCTACAATCAAACTTCGAACAGACTAATTTTTCGTTAGCAATTTATTTTTTGTAAATTTTGAATTGCTTAATAATATTACAATATATAGACACTTGATATCATATTTTTATAATTATTTTTTAGGTATTTTACTACTCAACGTCGATTTTCAAAAGTGCGGGCATGAGCACTGCCGGAGCTCAGTACGGGAATTTAGGCGCGGGACTGATCAACTTCGTAGTGACAATTGTGTCGACTACGTTTATCGACAATTTCGGACGTAAAACATTGCTGTTATCTAGTAGCATTGCATGTGCAATTATGCTGACGGCATTAATGACTTCAATGATTTTATCATCTGTGGTAAGAGTTGCGATTTTTTTTAAGTTTTATACCACGCACCATCATAGGCGTGTTTAGACTTTCGTGACTGGAGAGGCAGACGCCAAAATTTTTTAGGAATCCTCAGTAAATAAATAAGAACTTATGATACCTAAACATCTTACAAACTAAAAAAATAGATTATTACCCAATTATTGTCCTATTGAACCAATATTATTTGTTGTCTTAGTCTGGCCCAGTGTTTTGAATTGTCACTAAAATAGTGAACGCGTTCACGTTCACATTCATTGCCTAATAAAACGAACTCATTCAGTTTTTCCCAGAAGATCCCTAGATATCAAAATTATTATTATGGATCTTATTTTCTAAGACCGTGTTTCGGAGCTTAATAATTTATATTACATAATATTATAATTTTACATTGTTATTATTGTTATTTTGAAGTTTTGACTTCTGTTACTGCTAGTGTTGAAAATTTGATAACGTCAAGTTTGCGTTCAGTAAAATCAATTTTGCGCCGTTATGGCTTATTATCATTTATCAGACTTAAAATTACGGGCATTGTCTGTGTTTGTACGTTCTGTTTTTTTCTCGATATTTTAATTTTTAAGCGAGGCACAAAGATTTTTTAAATTTTAATATTTAACATGTCGATTAATTTTTATACTAAAATTAACAGCATACAATTAGATCTACAATATTGGATAATTTTGATATTATCCAATTTTCAACATTAACCGTATCATATGTTTATAATATGCAATATAATATATAATAATGAATAAGGTTTGAAATTCATTTAGACCACGATACCCGGATTGTCATACTTCACGATAGCGTTCGTTCTTGGTTACGTTTTATTCTACGGAATCGGTCTAGGGCCAATCCCGTTCTTTATCGGATCAGGTTAGTCGTTTAAACAATACTATAATACTATGATACAGGGTGGTTCACTAAGCGTGTTCACCTCATTTTTTTTGGTTAAATTTACCTAATGTATTCAAATTCTGATTTTTGGAATTTTTAAGTGTAGTCAAAGCCAATATTTTCGAGTACTTATATTTTTCACAACATTTAAGAAGTTCAAGGTAGGAGCGTAGTGGAGCACTATTAAAACGCCGCACGTCGTATCGTCACACTACTATCCCCCTACCTTAACTTAAAAGTCGAATATTTCGTCAACGGTTTGACGGAAATCAAAAATGTTGACACAAAAATGTATTTAAATTAATACTCCATCTATTCATGGAATTTTTAATATAGGTTCTCAATTGAAAAACTAAAGTTGGTATCGCCACTCGATATTCCTTAAATGTTGTGAAAAATCTAAGTATTCGAAAATATCGGCTTTAAGTACACTTAAAAATTCTAAAATTTAGAATTTGAATATTTTATGAAAAAATTTAACCAAAAAAGTGGGGTAAGCACGCTTAGTGAATCACTCTGTATAACAAGCATATTATAAATAAAACAGATTTTAACTCTTTTATTTTTTTTTTATTTATAGAACTAACAGACGTCGGACCTAGACCAATCATAATGTCAGCGATGAGCGTCGCTAATTGGTCTGGAAATTTTTTGGTAGGACTATTATTTCCTTTGGTCAACCTGATTCTCAAACAATACTGTTTTTTTCCATTCATCGCCGCTATTGTATTTATAATTATTTTTACTTGGTAATTATTTGAAATTAATTTTAGTAGTCCTAAACTATATTATAATACGTGCAGTGTCGTAGCCATGATTTATCAACGGGCGGGGGGTTAGGGTGCCTAGCAGGTTTATGGGTCTACAACCTTCTTAACCTTATCTAAAACTAAGAAAAAGCGATAGGGGTGGTTAAAACACCTAAAACTCCCTTGGGTACGCCACTGAATACGTACATGCATATAGGTATATCACCTAATTATTATTTCAATTTTATTCGATTCGCAGGAAAGTTGTTCCAGAAACCAAAACTTTTTCCAGTGAAAATGTACTGAGCCCTCCTATCAAAGAATAAAAGTTGAAATCCTTTTGGTTTTAACTTGAAATCGAGATAAATATTTTGTCTGTGATTTTAATACATATTGATTTATTAAGAATCGCATTTAAATAACGTGCTACAAGCTAATATGTTTAATTATTTAAAATGTATTTATTGTTTATGTATACAATTTATAAACTATATTGTATAAATTCTCATTTTATACTATTATTGTTAATAAAATATCATTAAATATTTTATTTATACAATTGTGTAATTTGAATTGTACCTATTTATTCTATAATTATTTTAATTTCTATTGAAAACCAAAGTATTACGATTTTTTTTTTTTTTTTTTTTTTTTTTTTGTTTGTTTATAAAATATATATTATTATGTATTGTGTACTCGCAATATTGTACCTATTGTTATTAGTAGGTAAGACATTATCATAGTATTATATTTTTATTAAAGGCCTTACGATCAATAAATTGATTGCATTTGAATTGAAATTTTAATATTATTATTTATTCGCGTTTACTAATTTTACGTGTACATTGTATTATAGTGTAGTATTTTTCATATTATAAATTAAAGGGTAGTAGCTTATTTTTGAAAATTGTTTAGCATAGCGAAATTTCTCTACAGTTCATGACTACATTCATTTTTTTTTTTTTTTAACAAGTAAATCCAATTTTTTACTTTCAACATCATAATGTAAACTCGACATTCGATAATAGCACTATTAAATGGTACCGTTACTCAAAATTGAAAGCATTTACCACTACCCTTCTTCCTCTGGGTCCTTAAATTATTTATTGCTCATCGATAAATAATACAGATATATTATAGGTAATTATTATGTCGAATTTTATTTATTCGAACTTGATGTATATCAACTTCAGTGTTGCAATCATGAAGCCCCCTAATCCCACCTCCCGGTTAGGGTGTGCAATCCCCTACAATGTTTTAAATCTTAGTGTAGTGAAAAAAATAAAACTTCCATATAACAGTCATCGAAAGGACCGAAAAAAATGACCGCTGTTTATAAATGACCATTTTTCAAAAGTTTCCTATAGAGGCATAACACTTGACGGAACCAAAAAAAAAATAACCGTTACACAGAGGTGACCGTTAACGGAAGTTTTACTGTACTTAATTTGTTACGTTTTTCAAAATCACCAATAATTTTTATACAAATTGCAATCAAAATATTTTGTATTTTTTTTTAAACTTTTATTTATACATATTAGTGAGTCTGACTACTCGAAGCATCTGGTGTTATTAATTTCCATGTAAAATGTACATGTAGTACATCGGTATGAAGGAATCGCACAAAATAATTATATAATAATTTAATTTGCATTCAAATAATTTAAATTGCATAGCGGTATTTATCGATTATCGCTACAATCATAAAGTGATTTTTTGATAATTTATTTTAGAAAATATTGCTCGTTTTAATTATTATTATCACCGCTGATAAAAAAAAAAATTATAGCCCATGTGTTATATAGGTATCTAAAGCAACATAATATACGTGAATTTAATAATCTTCAAAATAATAATGATCCGCTCGTATTTTACACCGGTACCACTAATATTATTATGGAACTTTATTTTAGTTTATCAATTATAATAGTATATTACGTTAATATTTTCGCACGTTCTCAAAATACGTCGGACATTTGCAAATCACGTTTGTTGAACGGGCATTATGTTACGTGGCCGAATAAAAATGTGGAAACCGATTACATTCACAAAAAGGATTATATCCCGAAAAATATCATTTTCACGAGATTTCAGATTTGTAGAAACAAAGTATTTTTGATTTCGCCTCGTTACAAGTAAATATTACTAATTAAAAACCTTGGGGCAACAATCGGAAAATTTCGATTTTTATAATTTTTCCGGAACAATGTAAACAACGTTTTTATTTTTATTTTTTATTTTTTTTTTGGTTTAATGCCATCGTAGCGCAAAAATTTGGTTGGTTGAGTATTATTATCTGATTATTATATTGGATTTATCAACAGGATTATGGAGATAAAATTGGGGCAGTAACATACGGGCCCTTTTTTTCGTCATATATTTTACGTACAAGTTCGATATTTCCAATTAAAAATTGAAACATATCATTATTTAAAATCATATATTTATGCATCCACGAGTCTCGACAAACTAAAAAACAAAAAAATATGAAATAAAATATACTCGTATCAAATGTACAGAACCGTCTTCCAACGTTTTTTATCTTATCTACCTGATTTACGGTGTAAATATAACTTTTGGAATTATTTTAAACTCATTACGTGCTACAGACACTGTCGTCTGTCACATGTGTTATAATTATAAACATAGCCTATAGGTACTATAGGACACTATAATGTAGTTTATATCATTATTTATTTGAAACAGTCAGCGTACTAAATATGTGATGTAAGATAACAGGCCATAGTTTTTTTTAATTAAAAAATCCAAATAATACAATTATTTTGCACTGGAGTTTTGATTTGTTCTGCTCATGATTCACTCCCAAACCCCCCTCCTCTAGTCGGGCCTGTTTATCAGATAGTTACACTAAAATTTTATTATAATTTTGTTTAAATACTATACCAGGTAATGGGTATCTACATAAGATTCGTCTGTAAATTGTTATACCCGAATATAAATCATGAATTATTATTTAAAAATTTAATCATAAATTATTAAAAAGTGAATTTTCGAACAATTAAAGAGTTATCTGGTTGTTGCACCAAGGTCTTGAATTTCTCATACACCCGTATAATAGAATTACACTATACCCAACGAAGAAAATATAACGTGAATATCGACTGAGGTATAGACTTGTTCCAGGGAAGGAGTACCGTTTACATTAAGCCACGTAACTCTTAGTGGTAAAGATCCATGTTACAATTATGTGCGACCATTTCCGAACTTGGAGAAAAATCGTGTGAACGATCAAGGCTCTATCATCAATGCTATAGACATGTACTTGGGTGCGAACGGTATACTCTGGGTGTTGGATATAGGTGTTACGAACACCCTGGAAGAAAATCCTCAAACGAAATGCGGAGCAAAGGTATGGGGCATCGACTACGGAAGTGGAAGTGTAAGTCTAAACAATTGTATTTTATAATATAACGGGTAGCACATATTTTATAATATTACCTACTCGAATATGTTAGGATAAGAAAAATTTGACGTTTGTAAGTGTTATGAAATAATTACGCTGGTTTTTTTGTTGATCTCGATTGAAAAAAAAAAACATATTATATACATTATTATTATAATATTATATTCCACTGTAAATATTATTGATATAACCAATAACACCCGTTAATCCGATGATAAATAATATTGTTATTTATTGATGTATTTCACGTGCCGTTCGCTTACGAATCTTATCTTATTTACGGTTTTTTCGATATTATACAGGTAATACCTATGTACAAAACAACATTCTTGTTTGTTTGTTTTTTCAGATAATACATACGATTTTGCTTAAATCTGTAGTAAACCAAATGCGCAGTCGGCTGCAATCCTTGATAGTCGAATATGTCAACGACACGCAAATAGTTTACATCGGAGACGGAGGAACTCGGTCGATTATCGTGTGGAACGTGCAGGACAATGACGGCTACAGGGTGAAACTGCCGCGCCGTTCTTCCGCCGCATTTACGGCGGGTTCCGTTTTGGAAGACGTATTTTATCTGATTCTAATTGCGAATTCCAATTGTAATTACATATATTACACCTATTTGTCAAGCTCGGACATGTTCAAAGTGCGCACCAAAGACTTGCGGAAACGGGTCAATCCCAAGTGTATGGTGACCGTTGGTCGGAAACCGTCTAAAATGGTAATAGTGGGATCCGCTTACGAGTCCGTAATATATTTCCGCCTCAAAGGACAGAACAATTTATACAGCTGGGACACAAAAGTCAGCCTGTTGGAAGAAAACATAATGTTGGTAAATTCTTATAGGTACCGGACCTATATTGCTATACGTACGCGTATGCTATACGTAAAATCGTATGCAAATACACCCGTGGCTGTTAATTTCAATGTAAACGTTATCGACAATGATTTTAGGCGAAGAAAAGCATAGACTGTCGTACAACAACGCACGTGGACGTCGACGATAACGGAGTACTTTGGGTTTTAGAGAGTAACATCGGCGATTTCGTAATCAATGCGGCCGGGTGTTACGGACCCAGCACAATGCTAAAACCGATCACCGAGCAACCGGTACCCGCGTTACGGTTGAACAGAAAATAATATTTTTTGAACTCAGAATTTGTGCCGAACACTGACCAATATTATAAAGGTCATAAAATGTCGAGTTCTATGCAGTAAACTGCGATAAACGATTAACGATTTGTAACTCGTTGCACTATTTTTTTAAATTTTTAAATTTTTGTAATTATATTATTTCATTGTAATAAATAAATACACCTACTTTAACGATCGGGATAGGGATAAAATGGACAATAATAACGATACAAATATTTTAGATTATATTATTTAGTGTTACACCGACAGGAATAAACATTATATAAAATACTCCAGACACAACTTATTGTTGTTGTCAAGAATAAAATGTCAATGGATACATTTGATAAATTTAAAAAAGCTTAGTAAAAAAAAATAATAACCAATTGTTTGGCCATCGAAAATGTACCTGTAATATAATTATGAAAAATAACCTATATCGACGAGTACATATTATATAGAAACAGTATATTTTATAGGTTTTTAAGGAATGTTATGAATAATAAATTGGTTTTAATTTCAACTCTTACGTATATATATTTTTAGGAATAAAAAAACTACCTTGGAACGGAACGTTATTATTTTATAAATCGTGATTACATTTAATTTGAACAACTATATTCAATCTTATCGTTAAGTGTACCTATATATTATAATATTCGATAACTATTATCTGTGTACGCCATTGACTAATACCGTCAGTATCAACATTCTGGTTTACATTTTTTTATATTGCATACGATAATTTGATAACTTAATAAATATAAATATACTGACGATAAATCGTTGAAATAAAAATAATACTGCAGAGTGGAGCTCGGTAAACTGATCAAGTACTTTTTGTTAGCTCAGAAATCAACAAATAATAATACCGATGTATCGTTATTTGTGTTTGGTTATTTTTAGAGAAATTTTCGAAATTATAGACAATTTTTCAAATAAAAATGATCGGGCGAAAATTTCGCATCTTTAAAGGTACTGGGTGAAAAAATCTGAGAATTTTTACAAACTAAAAAAAATATTCTCTATAATAGCTTCTATTGGACGGGTATACAAATCCGGAATGAAATAATCCGGAACGTAAGAACTTGGAACGCAATAGAACTGGATCGTAAGAATCCAGACTGAAATTTCTCGGATCATGAAAATGTAAAACGTAATATTTCGGGAAAATATCAATGGTTTCTAAAATATAATACTATAATAGTAGTAGTATTATTATATGTCCGTGGTTAATAATAATATTATGTTTTTTTTGTTTACAATATAATATTATTAAAATCTATGAAATGTGGTTAAATTTGAATAACGTGAAAGAATAAATAAGGGGAGAAAAAAATCACTTTGGATCCAAAAAGGACGGGTAAAGAGAAAAGAACCGCGGAATAAATACGACACATCAGTGAAAATACTTGAGGTTACCGATTTAGGAACGAATGGTTTTACTTAATTCCGATATATTATTACGCTCCGGATTATTATCCGCATCTTAGATATGACGGGCGAAAATGTTCGGGAACTGAAAACTGGAGATAGGCAATTCAAGATAAAGAGAGGCCTATGCGAGTTATGGTTACTTATATTGGCGAAAAAAAGGAGTATGTATTCCATAAAATATCTTCTAAATAGAAGAAAATAAAAGTAATGGTTTTTTCCGATGTAAAAAAAAAAAGTTTTTATTTTATATAGATCGGCAAATGCCGTTCGTTAAATTCTTATTACGTTTTCGTAGTTTTTATATAGATTGTACTTATTTTTATTTTTTTACCGCTGTCTATCAAGAACAGTTGGTAACAGTCTGCACAATAATGAAATAATGTATAACTTATACAATAATAATAAACGTCATAATGACCGATGAATTTTTTGTCCTTGACTTTCATAGATAACGACAATATTCAGTCTAGTTAGGCAGTGGTTAGATTTGGTTTAGAGTGGTAGGTTGATTTCCGTTCGTTCATACAGTATTGTTTGTCGTAGTAATGTTGTTATAAATATATTATTACTTTCCGCAAAATATATGGTTAATTTTTACGCGGGGAAAAAAACAAGGCAAATGGAAAATATGATTGATTTTTATAAGCTACATACAAATTAATAAATATTTTTTTTAATAATTGTTTTATACTCACACCACCATACCAGATTAAAATTATCTATTAGTGTGTGTTTAATAGAATTTGATGATTAACTACACAAAATTATAAATGTTTTACACATTTTACATAATCTTATATATTCAATTTGTATTTAAATCGAAATAATAATAAATATGAAAATATAATTTTAAATAAGCATTATGATTAACAAAGTATCCAATTTTGGTAATTTTTTGTCTAACAAGTAATATTCATAATATACATTTAGTTTAATGACTGTTTAATATAATATAATGTATAAAACGTTGACAATTTGGATAAACTACTGGGAATAAATTAAAACTAATGTATACTGATATACCATAATAAAAACTACTTTAAAAATCAAAAGATGACTTCCTAAACTCACCAAACTAGGTCCAAAATACTACAAATAAACTCTTGTGTTGTTTTTATTAGAATACAATTTTTAGCAGACGAATATTAGACAAAAAAAAAAGAAGAAAAAAATTCTAACAACCTTTAAACATCCATGTTGAAATTTCTTAGTATCACATCGCCGTCAAAAAGGCGGTGTGACGTGGCCAGAACAAAAACAAACCGCTAATATTATTTTCGTTACTAACCAACCGTTGTATAGTATCCGCGCCTACCGTAATATACAATAAACAAAATGCTAATATCGAACACGATTGGCGAAACAGAAATAATTATCGAGTATTTCCGATACTTTTTGCACGCGTTTGTTGTTTAGAAAACTTTCGTTGATAATGGAAAACAGCAGTGGAGTTCCGAATCCGAGCAGCGAGAGCATTGAGGATTCCAAAGCCGTTGCGACGGTCGAGCATGGCGCGTGGCAGAGCACGATATACGCGCCTCATATCGGTTACAAATTCGCGGAACTGTATTACTCCGTAATGCGTGTGGCACCCAGGTACGCCAACGAGTTTTACAACGAGCGCGGCCACTACCGGACGGTCTACGCAGACGGGTCGGCGTCCGTCGCGAGGACCCGGCTACATGTAAAAGGCAGTTTGACGCGTCCCATGTCCGCGTCCGAATTAATAGTTAAATCTATTATTTCGATGCCCTGCGGCGGGACGTCTGGCGGCCTGATGGTCACCGTGATCGGTGAGCGGTTCACGCAAGTATTCGTCGTAAAGTACCGTCCAGATCGGATGTCGGGTTACGCCATTGTGGCGTCTCTGACACGGTACATTTCTGCCGGACCGGCCGCCGACCACCAGACTCCCGTAGTGACTTTCGCTGCCGATGACTGCCGGGCTATCACCGGCGCCGCTCGTGCGCCAGCGTTGGTTTAAAAACGCGCGATAACTTTTCGCCAAATGTAGCCACCTGCGACATACCCGTTTTCGACATCACGCCCGTCCCTGCAGAATCCGCCTCCCCGAAAACCGCCGGCGCCAATATTATTGAACCCGATACCGGCGCCGAGATCACGTGCACCGCTATAAACACCGTTACCGATAATATAAAACCCAAATCCGATAACAAGAAAATCAGAAAACATTTAATTCGATTTAGTTCTGTTTTCTGCTGCCTGCCGGACTGTGTATAATTACATATCATAAACGCGTTGCATCTGAGCCGAAAATTTAAATTTGTTCCGCATCTCCCTTATCCAAGACCAATAGTTCAGTTAAGTTCAGGCTTAAGCCCCCCCCCCCCCCCCAAGAATGTAAACGTCAAAATAAAAAAATTATGTGTTTCAATATTTGATATTTATAATTTTTATTTTATTTCGTTGAGATACGAGAATGGTCTGGAATATTCACGGCTTATCGTTGTTGGGAAAATCATATTTTGTTGGTATATTAGTGATAATCGCGAATATTCTAGTACTGGTTTGCGGTACCTGTAAAGTTACATTGAAAAATGTATTATTATTATAAAATTATTAAATATATTTCTAATTTAACATGCACTGTATTAATATCTACAACTATTTATGTAAATATGAAGATAGTTGGTAAGACTATATTTGGTGGTAAATCTCATTATTGGGAGAGTTCAGAGTATTACAAAAAGAAAGAAGAAGAGACACATTAATAAAATAATGATACACATCATTAACTTAAAAACAATCAATAATATACATTAAATTAATATAGATATAAAGTTATAATTGAATCAAATAGATAAATATAGTTTACTGCATGCTTGATATGTTTTCAGGGGATATAAATAAAAAAAATGTATTTTTAGTCCAATCAAACATAGTTGGTCCATTTTCTCCTATTCCATCTTTGAAATGACAACCATATATCTTATATCTTTTTGTAGGATATGTATCTGCTCTCCTGTTGTATAAAGTTTTATAATCAAAAATAAAAATAATTTTTAATTTTTAATCAATTAGTATAAATTTATGAGTATATTTATGAGTATTTAACCGAATATAACTATTTTAAATGTAATTTACCTCAATTTAGCCCAAACTTTACATTCAACATCATTTGCTGGAAATCTAAACAATTTGCAGGTTTCTCTGTTGGAAATGTGAGAACATATTGGAATCCAACATTGAACAATTTTGCACTATGGCAAAAATTATTTAACAAATTTTAATTTAGATTGAATATTATGTAAAACTTGTTCAAACTGTCCAAAAGGAAAACTAGTAAAACTTAGTTGACAAACAGAAGACTGAAACAAATCAATGTGTAAGCACAGAAAGGATGGTTAAAAAATTCAATATTTTTTAAACATTTTTTTCTACCTTTGTAAATTTTGTAAAATAAACCGTAATAACAATTTGTTTTAAACCGTCAGTCTTAACAATAGACAATGTGACGTCTATATTATTTGTACCTTGAAGGCACAAGATCTTCATTTTGTACATGAGAATACTCTGAATTCTCTTGTCGTAAGACATTTGGAGCGAAAAAACTCTATCAAAACAATATCTATACGTAATATGTTTGTACAAATATAAGTAAAAACTTGTGAAAAATAGGTTTTTGATAGTTAAAAAGTTAAGATATAAACCTAAATAAAAAAAAAAACACCTTTAAAATTTCGCGCTCATGTATTTCTTATGGGATAAACCGTGATAACAGTTTATTTTGAACCGTCGTCCTTATCATTTGTTAACGTGACGTCACTACAATTTGTGCTTTCAATGTCACTAAATTTATTAATGATAACCGTGACTCTTTTAGACGTATTAGGTAGTAGAAACTGTTATAAATTATATCAACCATAGACCTTATACCACGATGTAGAAAAAAATGGCCGATTTATTACCCTTCCCTAATCCTCCGGCCAAAACTTTAAACTGTTATAGCTCATAAACTGTAAATCTGATATTACGATTCGACCTTACCCTTAACCATCTTTTGCCCCGTCGCCCTTGTTCAAATGGTTTTCTTTTTTCTTTGGTTTATATCGTATGTCATTGCCACTACTATATCGCTATATAGTAGTGGTCGCTACCCATACCGTAGTTCGCGTTCGTCCGGTCGCGATTCCATTTGCGATACGTCCGACGGTATCCTGTACTCCGACACGTCCGTCCAAGAGGACGTTCTCCATGACTTCAACTATAAGGTACACTGCAACTAATTCTTACGTTTTTTTTTTCATATCTTTTCCCGATTTTTCCCATTCATTATGAAAACAGTTGGGAAAATCAAAAAATGACCTTTTTTAAAGAACCACATCAGGCTTTGCTTTCAGAAAAAGTGCTATAATATGTGAATCGGAGCAAACTAGCTGACAGAAAAATTATTAAAAAAAAGCCGTTATATTTTTCAACGTTTATACTTACTTACATTTCGTACATTTTCCCGTATTTGCTCTGTTTTTTCAACGGGCTCAAATTTGTTCATAAGAATTAAATTCACTTGACAGTCGTTCATTATCGAGTTACCATCAAATCCAAGTTTTTGTACTCAGTATCAGTTTTACTTTAAAATGGCTAATAACAAGTTAGTAAAAGTCCGTACGTACAATCAAATGTCAAATATTTTAATGCTTATACAATAAATTATAACATTTAAAATATTTTATATTATTTGTGTACTCATACAATTTTCTATATGTATCTTATACCTGTAATAAGTAATTGTTGATTGATTTTATACTTTCATCGTCATATTATACTCGTATAATATTATTCAATTAGGCAGGTAGATACATCTATATGTTTCTTTAATATTACCATACTTCACACTCGACTAAGTTTTTATAAAAAATAAAATAATAATTCAACACAGAGGCACTATAGTCGGCTTAGGAACGTGAAAAAGCCGTTCAAATAATATGACGAACGAATTTGACTAAAATCCTCTGAACACGATATCGAGACCGACTGATCGTTGGCTCGTGGTTTTCGTTGCCCGGGAGCAAACTAATTTAAGTCGAGCTGCTGAGCTCGCCGTTTACACACGCGAGCCGCTCGATCAATGCTCACTAGTTCTCGCACTCAATTGTGTAAACGTAGCTACACTGTATACACTCGTCGCCTTGTACATAATTAAATTAACTAAATTAACAATAAATATTATTTTTGTCAAAAAGATAACGACAAAAATTGTTATGAATACCTACAGTATTATTATTCGATGCATGTGACGAGCTATTGTCATCGTAATCTTTAGGAGAAAGTCGGAAACACATTAAAACTTACCCGAAAACATTTTTTAAAAAAATATAGAATTCAAGTGAATATGCATACACATACCTACATACTTTTTAATATAAATTATACTCAATTATTCAACTTTTTTAAATGAAAAAAAAAATAATACACATTTTCATAATTGCTTATCAACTTTACTTTTTTTATTGTATCTATAAAACCGCCGTCTGCTAACCGTAATGAAAGGCGTACTTTTTATAAATAACTGAAAGCAAAAATAAAAATGAGGATACCAAATATNTGAAAAATAAACAGACTATTCGTGTCTATTTTGGAATGACATATTACAACATTGTAATAAAATATCTATTAGTTTACAAAGCAAAAGCAATGATAGTTACAAGTTGTAAATTTGAAAAGCCTAAACAATTTTGTTTCAAGTTTAAGAGCTTTGAATATGATCTATGGCCGTAAGAGTTGGAGAGTTTTGCTCCCAAATAAGTACATACAAAGATGAAAATAAAATAAAAATCATAAAAAAAATTTCCTGACGGTGACAATTAAGGTTTAACTATACTTGTAGTCAGGTTAATAATGGTAAAAGTGGTAATAATCAATTTTGTGTTGAAACACATAATGTAACAATTGGTAAATTCTGCTCAGAACTGGACAGAAGAATAAATATATATACTAGTGGAATAGTTGAACACGTTTTATTCTTAACTACACTACATGTTGAGTCTACTGATGATGTTGAGGAAAGTGTTGATTGATTTATTAGTGTATACAATAATGGTCTTGATGATTTGATAAAATGTTAAGTAATATATTTCAAGCAGTTTTGGGATTATTTAAAACCAATATTTAATGGAAATGATGTACTTAAGATATTTGAATGGATGACCGAATTTCATTTTATTAATATTTTCCCTAACATTCATATTGCTATAAGAATATATCTTACAGTTTCTGTTGCTAATAAAATAAAAATAAAATCAAAAATAGATATGCACAAACTCAAAATAATCTGTTATCATTAATGATATTGTCTACAGAAAATGAAATTCTACAAAATTTAAGATTTGATAAAACCTTAGAAGCATTCCAAAAAAACTACAAAACAACTACAAAAGAAAGCAAGAAAAAAAACTTTTATATGAAATAAATTTTGTTTTTCAGGTAAATATTCTTCCTTTGGTGTTAGCCAAATGGACTCTAGGACCATCCCATCATACATCCAGCCTTCCATCCATCATCACGTTTTCTAATCACTTCCTCCTAACTCTTCCACATCATTCTTCACTACATCTTCCCATCTCATTCTTGGTCTTCCAATGGGTCTTTTTCATGTAGGGTTTTTTTCTAGTATCGTGCGGAGTAATGGGTTTTGGTTTTTTTAAATGTGTCCTGCCCCTTGTAGTCTCTTATTTCTTATTTCCTCAATGACGTTTGTTTTTTTCAAGTAAATATATACAATTAATTTTTTTTTCTAATATTTTTATTGGCTGTTTGTTTTTGTTATAGCTATACCAGTTAGAAAACATTAAAATTGTAAGAGTTGAATCTAAATTGAACGATTGTTTTTATAGAGACAAAATTTTAAAACAAATTTTAACCCCCTTCATTTACTAAATTGAGTACATTGATTTTATTGGTACTATTGATGCATTTATATTTAATTTATTTGAAATTCCTAATGACTATATGGTAATGTATTAATAACTCCCATTTAACGATTGTATTATTGCTAAGTTTCACTATTACTAAACTATTATTACTATTACATTATATTTATTAGCATTATGTTGCTTTTTTTTTATAGATTTCTTTAAATGTGATATATGTAGCCCTCAAAAAGTTTAAAGGATTGTTTTCTAGATCACTGGATTTAGTTGGATTTTATAACATTAATGATCTAATAACAAATTGTAAACCAATGATAACTGTAAGTATTTATACATTTTGTAAAAATAACTGGAATGATTTTCTCATTTTATCGATTATCTATTTGTATGTATATAATTAATATATTTATTTGTGTGTTAGTGAAATACTGTCACTATAGAATTGATTGTATATGTTTACTCTATGTTAAAAGGCAAATCCCGTAAAATAAAAAAAAAAAACATCAAGTACCAGTTACCTTTGACCAAATGTACCAGTTGCCTTTAGCCAAATATACCAGATGTACTCAATATATAAAATATAGTACCTAACTCAGAATACAAAGAGGGACATTTTAACCTGTGTATTATTTAAAGTACAGCTAATAGGGAAAAAACCTAACCTTTTTAATAGTCGATAGGTATAGTTAGTTATAGGTACCTACCTAATTAATAAATACCACGAACAGTAACCACCAATAATATTAATGTAAAATAAAGGCCATTTTTGGACTCGGACGAATCAGAGAAGTTTCTCTGATTCGTCCGAAAAAAAAAAAAAAAGGATTTACTTATATCTAAGTGAGTGTCAAGTTTAAATTATAAAAACAATTAGTTGTTTACTACTAAATTTTGAGCTTAACAATTTTTATTTATAATTTTAAATTATTTATGTTATCTTTATGAATAATGTGCATAAACTCATTTAATATAAATACAAGTTAAAAATTTGGTATTAAGCAATTTATTTAATTTGATACCCACTTAAACATCAATTCTAGTTTTTGACAAAGTAAACGAACTTCTTCAAGCTTTATTTCATCTCTTTTTCATATTTATGCTTAATGGTGGTATATATGTATATATATATATCACTAGGTACTTTGTGTACGTAGTGTTATATATTTTACTTAAATAATAATATAATATAAATACCTACCTACGTCCTACATGGATAAATTGTATAAATAATATTAATTCTAAAATAGCATCAAATAGTCAGTAAATTATAATTTATTTATTTATTTATTATTAATATATGGAGCAAAACTCCATATATAGTATGTGAATAAATATGACAGTCGTATAATGCATTATGAACTTGTAATCAATATAGTATAACATATTTATCTATAAATAAAGTAGGTACCATGTATATAGTAGTAGACATTGAAAATATGCTAATGCTAGGTATTGAAAAGTACCTATCTATACGGAGGAATAAATACAATTAATCATTGTTATAAAATAATATATATACATTTATTAAGTGCATCTTCCNGTAACCAAAATAGTATAACACATTTATCTATAAATAAAGTAGGTACCATGTGTATAGTAATAGACAGTGAAAATATGCTAATGTTAGGTATTGAAAAGTACCTATCTATATGGAGGAATAAATACAATTAATCATTGTTATAAAATACTATATATACATTTATTAAGTGCATCTTCCTTAATTAACTTGTTACATTTTTAAAAAATGTCTCCGAGCAAGAAATAAATATCGAAAACAATGAGAATGACTATTTTTTTAATTTCATTGACAAATTCAATTTATATTGGTCAGCAGTTATTTATTAAAATTTACAGTTGCTGATAAACATTACTACCTATTTAATATTTATAATCAATGATAAATTACCTATACCAAATATATTTTAAACTGTTTTTTTTTTTATTTAGAAAGCAACTCCTATTAGTAAATTACCCAGATTAAATGACATTGTTGGATGTTAGATAATTATCAGATAAATTATTTTATAGAGCAAAAGTTTTAAAAAAAATTAATGAACTTAGTTACAAAGCACAATTTATTGATTATGAAGTTGAAGAGTATGTTCATTTATCAGATATTGCTTGTCTCCAAACTGAACCATAAGAAATAAGTTCTTTTATTTAAATTAAGAGAATGTCATAGTAATAATTTATTATATAGATTAAGTATATTAAATAACCTAGCAGTTTTTAATATATTTAATCTATGCTCATTACTAAGAAGTATGGTGGTTTTAAAATACAGTAGATATTGTGGAAATCGACATTAATTATTACAATTGTTTACTTATAAAATAACTAAAACATTTGAAAATTTTCTTTTAATGTCAAGAGTATAAATATTATGTAATAATAATGTTTTTACTAAAATGATAAAATTTATGACAATTAAATTTTGAATGATGCTGAATTCATTATTAATATTATTATAATATTTATGATTATTATAATAATGTTAAATGGCCATTATAATAAGGTATGAAACATTAAAGAGCCCTGTATTATACATAGATAATTTATTTGTAAATGTGTAGAAAAATTATGAATATGAGATTATAGGATGTTGTATTTATAATGAAAACTTAAATCTTTACATGTATTATTATTAAAACTGTAAATTATATATAAATAGGTATATACTTNAATTTATTTATATATATATATATATATATATATATATATAAATAATAATAAATATATATATAAATATAAAAATTAAATATACTTTCCTTTTAATTTTTATTTATACATATAATATATATACAAATTATTAGCTTTTTTTCAATTTTTTTTTAAACCATTTAAATTAATATAAATATAATATAATAAAAAAGTCAATATTTTTGGAAATATCCAGTGTAGACATTGTAAATTTTTATATCATTCATTTGTTTATACATGTACTATTCTTAGATATTAATTTATATTAATTAATTTTCTTATTTTTTTATTTTACGGGATTAGCTCTTTGACATGAAGTAAACATATACAATCAATTCTATAGTGGCAGTATTTCACAAATACACAAATAAATATATATATTATATACATACAAATAGATAATCTATAAAATGAGAAAATCATTCCAGTTATTTTTACAAAATGTATAAATACTTACAGTTNGGGTTAAAATTTGTTTTAAAACTTTGTCTCTATAAAAACAATCGTCCAATTTAGATTCAACTCTTACAATTTCAATTTTTGCTAATGGTTTATTAACTGGTATAGCTATAACAAAAATAGACAATAAAAATATTAGAAAAACATTTTTTACACATATTTATTGTATATATTTACCCGAAAAACAAATATAGTTTTGAATTCATGGGTATTCCAAATGAAAATCATCACCTTTAAATTGTTTGCATTTTTTCAATGACATAAAATATTCTATTTCTTACAATATTTTCATTATTTCCAGTCACTCCATTGGCTACATAGTTTAATGATTCATCAAGTAATGAATCAACAAATCTAGAAATAATTGAAGGAAAAAGAAATTAGTTACTATATATGAAAATTGACAGCAATTATTAATAGTTTATTAAATATTAACCGCTGCTCACTTAACGTTTTGTGTTAATACATAAATTGATCTTATAATATTTACCTAATTTAAAATTGCATACCATTGCAGAACTTAAAACAATAAAATAAAAAGTAAATAAAGTTACTTATTTTAATAAAAGAGTAAGAATTTGTTTTATTGTATTATTTGTTGAACTGATATATTTAATATCAAATTAATAATGCCACTAAATTTATTAATTTGATTCTTTTAGAAGTGTTAGGTTGGAGAAACTATTATAAAAAATCAATTATTAAGTGAATCCATTTTCACAGATATGGGGGGAAATTCGAACTTATAGACTATCAAATATTACCTATAATTAGTTATGTACCTATAACTAACTATACCTAACGACTATTGAAAAGGTTAGGTTTTTTCTCTGTTATCCCAACGTGATTTTGCTAAATAATCAGAATTTATTTAGTTTCCACTCCAATTGGTAAATGAAGTTAGCTGTACGTTAAATAATACACAGGTTAAAATGCCCCTCTTTGTATTCTGAGTTAGGTACTGTATTTTATATATTGAGTACATCTGGTATATTTAGCTAAAGGCAACTGGTATATTTTTTTTTTCACCAAAAATACTCACTGAGGACAACTGGTCAATACCCGAAAAATATGGTATTACATGATAGTACAAAAGTAAATGTTTAAGAAAATGGTCTAATTATT